GGTTCTGAAAATTTGGACGTAGGGCGTAGCGTATAGCAAATGAACTTAAACGTCATCTGTCAAAGCGCTATATCGCCGCTATCAATTTGAATATTTTCGTTTTAAAAAGCGTTTAAAATGGTGTTTTCTCAAGAACAAAAAGTGTTTATCATAGAGTCCTACTTTAGAAATGGACGCAAGATTGATGGAATATGGAAGTATTCTATTGAGGAATGTTTCATAGAATTTCAAAATCAATTTCCCGGCGTTGTTGAGTACAAAATTTTTCAAAGTGCAGTTCAGCGTTGTGTTAATGTTTTTCGTGAAACGGGCAGTGTAACAAGAAAAGAAGGAAGCGGCCGACCTAAAAAGCGGACTGAAGAATTAAAAGAAAATGTCCAACAAATAATGGAAAATGCGGCAAGAACTTCTGTACGTGTTTTATCACAAATGGTGGGAGTATCAGTCGGTATCTGCCACACAGTGTTAAAAGAAGCTCCTTTAATTGTTTGTTATTGTTATCACGATTATTCTTTAAAATAAAGTTATATAGGCATTAACGTTATTGAAACTGTCAGCTGCTATACAGCTCGTTGAGGAATGAGGTTAAGTTGATCGCTATAAGCTACTCCTTACGTCCAATGTGTCAGAGCCAACTTCGACCACGTTTTTATTTGAACGCTCGTTATATATATAGGCATAGGCATGTGTCTTCAACTCAGAATGAATATTATTGTTTATTTTTAAGTTTGTCCAATTTTTAAAAACCAGTTATTTTTCTTTTAATTTTGAAAGTTTCATTTACAACTGAAAGTAAAAAGTAAAATAAAAAGAAAACACTAAACGTTTTTCAAACTTTTAAAAGTAGTATCAATATGCCAATATGCAGTAGCATGGGCGTAGCCAGGAATATCCCAGTTTATTGAACAAAGTATGTGAAATCATGGTTTCAGAAATACCAAGAACATATGGTTAAACTGAGAAAATTAATGTAACAGTCTTCCTACCCAACGGCCAAAAGCAAACAGTGGCCTAAAATAATTAAATCTCATTGTTTTATGTCCAGTAATAGCAATATAATTTTTGAATCATGCATCATGCAGCAAGAATTAGGGGAGGCACAGACCCCCTGCCCCTCGCTGGCTAGGCCCATGTGCATGTGAAATCTCAAATTTATTTAGGGTAGGAACATTAGCAAAATTACTTGAAAAACTATTTTAAAAAATAATGAAATGATAATTATTATTGAACAGACTTTTGACTAATACTCATTAGAATTCAAGAACTACATATGTACTTCAAAACATATTTATTTATCTGTTATCTACATTAAGCTTCAGCATATGGTACTGTGTACAAAGATCAATGTTTACTAAATATCATCAATAGCTAAATAATAATACCGACTTAAAAATAAAATTTAATTAAATAATATTTATTTTGCAATTAAACAAATGCTGTTTTTTATCATTTACAAAATTGATGAAATAAAGGAATTAATAGGGAATATTTATAAAATTATAAACATTTAAAAGCATGGTTAATAATAAAAATATACTGCAGATAACATGTTTTAGATGCATTTATTTTTAAAATTTCATAAGTTTCTTATTCTTTTCTCAAATATATATGTCATATAATATGCATTTTTTTAAATTTGTGAGATGACAAAAATTATCTCTGTTAGAATATTTCAAGTTGATATATTTATATATAAATCTGTTTTACTATTGCCAATAAATTGGAGGCAATAAAATTGCTGTGGAACTCTTACTTGGTAGGCAAGAAATTTGTTTCTTTTTTAAAATAATTATAGAAGCTGTCACTACTTTACATATACCATGGAAGTTTATTACTGTTGTTTGCAAGTACTTATGTGGCAGTGCTTTTAACTGTTAACAAAACATTAAAATCAACCCATTGACTGATCCTTTTGACACATTTACATTGACATTTATTTGATATTTGTAAATATTTTTAAATGATTTATTTTTAAGTGACCCAATTAAAATTTAAAAAAAGTATTATTTTTGATATTAACATTAAATTAATATGTAAATGTGGTAAATTATTTATTTCCACTTGTTCTGACAAACTTCAAATCTTAAAAAATGAACTAAATGAACACAAAAAAGATTTATTGGTTATGTGTATAAGCTACCTACAGGATGTCCCAAAATTCATGCAACAAAATTTGGTCACAGATTCTTAAGACAAATTTAGGGGACCCGTATTTTTTTTATTTTTGCCAAGTGGCCCTCTCTTTAGGAGTTACAGCCCCCTGAAGTCTGCCCCTAAGAATAATATTTTTTTATATCTCAGTTTTATGACGTGGAATCTGATGGTGCTACGTTTTTTGGCGGGGAACCCCCTAAGACAATTTTTCGTGAGCTCCCTTGTCTTTGGAGCCAAAAAAATTTGGTCGCATATTTAGATTTCTTAAAAATTATCAGTCCACTAGAAAGCCATTAAATTTAGAAACTTTTTGTCTCTATACTTTTTTCGTAAAATGCAATGTTTTCGAGAAGAATGTCAAAATGTGATCCAATGCATATCGTGATATGCATGATTTCCTCAAGAACATTACGTTTTACGAAACAAATATCAAAAGACAAAAAAATTTCTAAATTCAATGGCTTTCTAGCTAACTAATATTTTTTAAGAAAATCAAATTTGTGACCAAATTTTTCTGGTTCCAAAGACAAGGAGGCCCACGAAAAAGTGTCTTAAGGGGATTTCTCGCCAAAAAGCATAGCACTGTGAGAATCCACATGTCATAAAACCCCTGTGTACCAAATTTAGTGATTCTCTTACCACATGATTTTGAGATATAAAAAAGACTTCTTAAGGGCAGATTTCAGAGGGCTGTAACTCCGAAAGAGGGGGCCAGTTGGCAAAAAGAAAAAATACGGGTCGTTTAAATTTGTCTTAAGAATCTATGACCAAATTCTGTTGCATGAATTTCGGGACACCCTGTATAAATTTCAATACAGAAGATGTTGAATCTTCTGTACTGAGACTGAGTATGGGTATGGTAATACTTAATAATCGTAAATAAGCAGCGTTTTTTAAATGAATATTTTACATCATTTTGCTGTTACCGTCTCTATCCGAATTCAAGAAATACAGAGTACTATCTGTTGATAAATATAAATGCCATTTCTTTATTTATTTCCTTTCTTTTCTATTTCTTTTGAGGTTTCATTAGTAGCTCTAATTTAGTAACCAATTTTGGAGATTTTTAGTGACTTTTCAGTAACAATAGATAAATATTCCACATACACATCATATAAATATCTGGAAAATCTTGAATGGTACTGTGTAAATGTGAACATTCCAATGTAAGCAAAGTAAATGTTTCAAATTATTTTCTGATCAAATTTTACAATCGTAAAATTTGCCAAATAGAATGGTGTCAAATTATATCATTATTAATGGAAACTGAAACTACTGAAAACATAGTTTGTAGTGTTAAACAATGCAATTTATGCAAATATATTGAATTTTCTACCATATGCTGATCTTTATCAGGATTTGCTTGATTTCAAAAAAGTTTTTGCACCTCTTAAATCAAGCTTTCCATCATGCGAATTACATTGCGAGTGTGATAACAATAAAACTATTTCAGTTTAAACTAATGTGATACACATAACTATTCTTAATGCACATGTATTTGGACATCTTCATTTACTTGAGTTTTATTATGAATCTTGCAACGTAATTTATTTATTTATTTATTTATTTCATTACATCGTATGCACCATTGATTTAAGACACAATCGGGTAAAAATAAGTGTATCTTAGTTTGCTAATTACTGCTGCTTTGACTGATATTTATTCTACATATTGTAGCCTTAATTTTGACCAATAAATTGGAAAATTTATTATAATACATAAAAAGGTGCCACAAATATAGCAAATTGTTGATTCATTTAAAAAATTCTTAAATATAAAACCAATTTTACTTTTTATTTTCAGGAATCTCTCTGCAATTCAGGACCGTGAAATTTGTTGTTATTCAATTTCATGTAAGGAAAAGGATAACATTGATATAACCCTTCAGTGGTTAATTGCACACTCAAAGTCTGGAATGCGCTAAGCAAATAAATTTGTATGTATCAGCTAAATATTAATCATCAAAGTAATCATATTTTTGAATTTTATAATTGTGTCTTGGAGAAATTTTAAGCTATTATAGTTTTAGGTTTTTTATTATTGCCAAATACGTGGTATATCTATGAGCTTCTGTCAGTTTATTTTATTTTGCTACGTAAATAAACGAAGTCAGTCTAAACAGCTCAACTTTTTAAAAGAGGCAGTAATTCAGTGACTGAACCATAATGAAAGGAATTATAAATTTTAACCGCAAAATAATTATCATAAGCGTTTAGCACACTATAGATAGTGACATTCATTTAATTCAAAAGATTACATACAGATGCCTTCGATAAAATTATTGTATTTAAAAAAAAATGTAATAAACCAATATTTCCTTAGGATTAGTTTTTTGTGCGTTTCGGATTCCATAATTCTTTTTATAGAGAACTGCAGAATTAATATAAAACTGTTAAAGGCAGTTTGAATACAAAAATTATTTTGAGGTTATGAAAATAATTCCATGTCATAGAAACTGTGTATGATATTGCAGACATTTTTGGCTAAAGCAAATAGAATTATTCTAAAAATAATAGTAGTGCGGCGCCAAAATCTAGCTAAATTAAATATTTTTTTATTGCAAAAACGAAAAGGTTTGTACAGTCATACAGAATACATTTACTCAATATATCCCCCCACATACTTCAATAACCGCCTTCAATCTCGGACTGAAGCATTTGCAGGCCCGCTTTAATGTGTTACGGTTCATATCGGCGTATACCGTTTCAGTAGCAGCTTTTAATGGTGCGACGTTTGGATGTCTGGACTTTTCGGTGACCCTTTCAACCAGCCTCCATACATACAAGCCCAAAGACAATTTTGCACCAAACGACTCGTGTGGGCGGGCGCACCATCTTGCTGGAAAACATACAGCTTTCTAGACAACAGTACATTTGCCAGAATACGCAAGTAAACTTCTTTTGTTATGCCGAGGCATAACATCGCATTCATTAGACAAAACACTTAACTTGTGAACATTTGCCAGAAATTTTGTTCTGGAAACAACAGGGACATATTCAGGGTAGTGGGCAAACCAGCTGTCATTCCTTCGATTGAATATACTTAGCCGTGATATCAAACAGTCAATCCTGGGGACCCAACAAACCGAATCTCTGTCGCCGAACATCCAGTGCGAGCACTTTCGAAATTGTGGTTCTTCAGTTATATTTTGCGCTTGGTTTCAATATTGAGCCTATTTTGAGGTTATGACTATTTAGTACATACTTTAACTGTTTCGACGCCAATCGCGACCTCTATGTATATCTGAAATATAACGACGGGAATTTCAAATTAAATTTTGTCCCGATTTTGGTGTGCGCCCTGTACATAAATGTATATGAACTTCAATAACAGTGTCTATAATAAAGTTTTACAACCGGATTCATGAAAGAGGCGTAAGGCGTTAGTCGGACTAAGGAATTTTGCGCCCGTGTAAACCTATTCACGAAAAAATGCGCTATCCTTGCGGTAATAGTTACGCCAAAATTTAGACCTACATAACATGCATAAAAATCGTGCAACTTAAGTTGCAGTTTATTAAGTTTATTGCATTTTATTTTTTTATAAGTAATCCCAGTGCTTAATAATAATAGTTTAATCACAAGACAAGATTTTTATGCATGTTATGTAGGTCTAAATTTTGGCGTAACTATTAGCGCAAGGATAGCGCATTTTTTTGTGAATAGGTTTACACGGGCGCAAAATTTCTTATTCCGACTTACGCCTTACACCTCTTTCATGAATCCGGTTGTTATACTTTTCCATGGACATGTCTCTCCACTACATTTTAAAAATACTGTTACAGAATGGGTATGACAAATGATTTTTAATTTGCATTACTTGGAACTAACTAATACAAACGTCTTGCTAGAATGTTAAAATGATATAATCCAAAAGCTTCAAATAAAATACTTAGGTGCTTCTATTCATAAAAATGTAGATAAAAATTTCTGATACTTTTTTAAAAACTAATTTTGGTTATAAATTTTGACATAATTTTTTTTCAATCAAATGATTTTTTTACTATGTATTATTACCAATAGACATACTGTCCGAAAAAAATTGCTCTGAAAATCAAATTTAAAAAAACCGTAAAGTTATCACTAGGTATTTTTTGAAAAAATTTTATAAAAAATGATCTTTATTGACTAGAAAATTAATCAACAATATGCAATTTTCAAAAAATTAAAGGTTGTTAAAAATCTTACAAAAAAACATTATGTTCAGTCGATAGTGACCAATACAGAGGAAAAAATTAAATTAATAAAATATTTTGCGATATGTTTCCATCCAAATCCTATTACATTATTACTAGTTTTGAATTGAATTAAAGATGATTTGGCAGATATTTATACAACTGTATAAAAGTTTTATTTTATTCCTCCTTCTGTTCATGTTACAAAATAGGTGACCTTTTTATAGGTTTTTTTTTAATTTTCAATTCTAAGCTATTTAATTTTTTGAAAAAACAATAAGTAAAACAGTTATGTTCAATTATCTAGACAATAAGGGCCATTAAACTCAATTTTCTTTTTATAAGTAGTTTGTTACTAAGAAGTGTATCAAATTTAAAAAAAATACTGGAAAATCCCAATTTTTGGAAAATGTCCAAGAAAACTTACTTGGAAACCTAAAGGAAAGTTTCCTAATTGAAATTTAGGATTACAAATTTGGCATTATAAATTTGAACCAATGAGCCACTGACTTTTTACATTCCATTAATAAGTCTCTTATTATCTCTGATCCATTCCGTATAATATATGGATAGTAATTATTGTTAGCCCCTTGGGGGGGCTATTATGGTTAAGGTTAGACTTCTTGCACTGGCATATTTTGCATATGTTGGTTGGTTTAACCCTTAGCAAATGCTTTCATTACAAAATTTGTATGTGTAATTAAATGCCCAGAAAATTGCTGCCTTCTGCATTTGGCTGTACTGGGGCTGTGTTCCAATTAATTTGGATATTAATTTAAATACAGTCAAAGCCCCTTAATGCGCACACATCAGGGAAACAAAATTTGTCCGCATTAAGCGGCTGTCCGCATAAACCGAATTTACACAAATAAACAACCGATATTTTAACGTAAACATGAAAAACATTCTATAAAAGGGCTAAATAAGTTAAAATAATATAAGTAGTACTGACATTTATTATAAATTTTGTTTTATAAAGAGGTATACAGTACATATAAACAAGTACATACATTTGTATATACTGTACTTAAAACTGAAAATAAAAAAAAAACAACTCAGGCTTGCTTTTTCACTGTAAGACCTTTTCTAGCCACATAATTTGAACAAACTTTTAACTGTTCTATTGGACTGTCGTCATTGCCTGTCTGCAAAAAATTTCTTGTTAAAATTTTGACGGCATTACGCGCTTCTTGTTATTGAACCGGTGGTGTTTCATCTTCACTGTCGCTACTTTCTTGTTCCGTGCTTTAAAATTTTTCAAGCACAGTTTCACCTAGATTTTCGTTGTCATCGTAACATTTTACATCGACTTCAAAGTGCTCAACTTGGCCCGCAGTCCCATCACCCTTGTTCACGTCTTCCACCTCATCACCTTTTTTGAAACCGCAATGAGCGAAGCAATTTTTTATGGTGCTGGTGCTAACATCTTGCCAGCTGTCTGACGCAAAGTTTATTGCTTGTAAAATATTTATTTTACTGCTTATGTCTTTTGACGTACTGTTTAGATCAAGAGAATTTTCGTCTATTTTTTCAAGAATACAGTTGACTACTTTTGTTCTGTATTTGACTTTCATGTTTTTTATGATACCCATGTCCAAGGGCTGAATTAGCGACGTTGTGTTTGCCAGTAAAAACTCAAGGGTAATGTTTGTTAATGAGTCAATCTTTGGGTGGGCGGCGCAGTTATCGAGTAAAAGCATTGTCGATCTAGACTTCCATTACAACTCTTTGTCTCATTTTGTCAACCACTCCGTGAAAATAGATGTCAACCATGCATTCGCATTAGCGTGGTATTCAACTGGTAGTCGGTCTACTGAAATGTGCTTGAAACACCGTGGGTTCTTGCTTTTACCAATCACGAGCAACTTTCTTTTGTCACTTCCCGCCATATTCACGCAGCACAACAAAGTTACCCTATCCATTGCTTTTTTCGAACCAACTAAATTTTCTCGTTTAAAACAGAGTGAGCCGTCTGGTGTTGCTCTGTAATAAAGCCCTCTTTCATCGGCATTGTAAATGTCTTCGGACGAAAATTGCTTCATTATTTCTGGGAGTTTTATTAACTTCCACATTTCTGCACTTTCCGTATTTGCACTTCCCTTTTCTCCATGGGCTCTTAAATTTTATAGCATGTCTGCCCTTCCATCGATTAAGCCAACCATCAGTAGCTGTGAACTCCTCATGTCCTAGTTTTCTGGCTAAATCCTCAGCTTTACCATGCAACATGGGTCCTATCACTTGAACACCGCAGCCGGTAACAATGGTGAACCATTCTAGTAGAGCGTCTTCAACATCTGGATCCTTCCCTGTTCGTTTACGTTTCTGTCCACGTGATGTCCCGCCAGCAGCGCTTTCTTCACGAAGCTGAGCTTCATTCTTAAGGAGTTTTCCGATCGTAGTCTTCGATACGCCCACAACTTGGGATAGAACTTGTACAGTTGTGTTGGGCGGTTGTTGTTTAATTTTGTTGAGAATTTCAAGCTTTTGGTCCAGTGTTAGGTCGTTTCTCGGCATCTGCACAAAACGATAGAGAACAATCAGTTTTCTAATAAGTTTGTGTGTGTGTGTGTGTGTGTGTCTATTTTTAACGGTACAGTTATACAAAGAAACAAACACTTACCGTTGAATTGTAGTTGTCCTAGGAAGCCGAAAAAGGTAACCATAGGAAAGATTTTTGATAAGCCGTATTAAAATAGAAAACACTGCTGCACTGGTTCTTTTGTTCTAAACCACTGATCCATCTACCAACTGCGAGCTTACCTCCCACTCTGTATAGACCCCCACCCATTCACATCTCCCATTCCGCTGCCATTGTCTCCCCACTCACGCGTGGGCGCTCTCTACTCCTACTCCTCGCTTCTATGGAATGGTGCCCGTGCTGTATTAACCAACTTTTTGTCCGCATTAAGCGGAGTATTTTAGTACACAAAAGCCTCGTTTGATTCCGGACCAAGCCAATTTGTCCGTATAAGGCGGCTGTCCACATAAACCGGCGTCCGCAATAAGCGGCTTTGACTGTAGTTTAATTCTGCATTAATATTTACATATTCTTATACTTTGAAAAGCATATGAAGAACTGAGCGACTTATTTTTAGGTTTTCTGTAAAGCAAAATTTGTAATTAACAAAACATATTTGTAGGGAAATTAAAAAATAATAATTGTTGATTTAATGAACATTAAAAAAAGTATCGAAAAGACGAAAAGTTTTGCTTAAATTGTTAATAACGATAAAAATTGTACTGTACAAAATTCCAAGTTGATTTATTGAAAACTTTTTGAGTTGTTTCCGATCAATTAAAAAAAATGGTTTCTCGAAAAACGCTTTTAAAGTTTCTGTTGCCATTCAGCATAAGAAATTCGTTATATACCTTCAATCAGTGATGCCGGTACCATATAATTGGCCTTCTATAGATTTCCTTCGTCCTCTTCTTTTCGGCTTAATCTGAAACTCAATCTGGCCTCTATAATAGCTGTCTCACGCATTTTGATGAGTTACAATAAGCACTTCTATAGCGTGCTGCGAGTGGTTGTGCTCCACCTCAAGAAAACTCCTGTATTCTTCATGTAATAAAGCATTGTTTAAACCAAAAATCGATTTTTTTTCAAAATTCTGGAGTAGCTTTCCCCCTTAAATAATAATCAAGGATATGAAGTGGTAAAAATATCACACTGTATTGAAACGTCTAAAATTCTTATCAAAATCAAAATAACCAATTATAAAGAATAGGCATTCTTACAAGACTTATTTCAATCACAAGTAACTAAAAACGACACAATATTTGAAAATGTTATTTAAGCAACATGAGAAAAAGATTTTCTGTAAAAGCCCACAAAGATGTCTGAAATACATTAGCAGCTGTTAAAGTCAATAGTATTGGACATGGCTGTGTCATTTCCTGTTTCTTCAAGGCTAAAAGGAAAAACATAAAATTTGTTTACTTTGAAGCAATTTCTGTTTTCCGTTTCAGAGAAAACCCACCAGATTCCTTGAAACGGTATTTCCCACCAAAAATAAACCTATATGAGACTTAAAAAAAAATTGAAACTGAAAATAGAAATCCTTATTTTTAGTTTTCACTTGCTGATAAAACGTAGATGTAAGTTACCGTACATTTACATATACAGTTATTTACACGATGTGCTGTTTTATATAATTTGTTGAATGATGACAAAATTAAACCTGTAAAAATCTGTTGCTTGTAGTTCAAAAAATTAATGGATTTAGATTATAGTAAATAGTAATAATTTTTTTTTAAATAGCTTCCGGATATGTTACAAAATTTATATAATTTTATATTGTAATTTGTTATTAATTTATAAGTCAGATTTTTTTATATGTATACAAATTTTATTCTTTATGTTTTGTGTCTGAATTGTAGCTATTTTGAATTTGTATTTTTTTTTATTTTTTGTATTTGTTATAGAGCTTTAGATGTGAAAGTTCTTTAAAAAATACAAACAGTAATTATTTATATAGACTTTATATTGATTATCAATTAAAAACATATTTTTTTGGTAATATATTATTTTAATCATAATAAATAAAACATTAAAAAAGTGTTTATTTCAATTTATTCTTTTTCGCTTTAGCGCCTTTTAACGCCCCTGACTTGGCAGCTCTAATAATGTTTTTAAATTGTCCGGCTGCTTTACTCTTCTTCCTATAACAAAAAAAAAGTAATCATGACACGAAGACTATTCAAAGAAACTTGCACAAATGTTCACATTTTTTAAAACAGATTTCCAATGTCAAAATTTTCAAGGACTTTATTTTTAAATACTTTCAGAAAATTTGCTTAAAATATTTAACACATATTGCATCATTTTTTGTTTTATTTCATACCACTACCTTACTAACTAAAGTGCTGTACCGTACTCATTGCTTTCTGAAGTATTGCTAAATATTTCATCAGTTTCATTACCACTCGCAGATATATTTTTATAATCGGGAATTACTATTGCATATTTTATACATTTTATCTAGACTGCAAAGCAATATTCATTTCAAATCCTCAAATTTGTGCAAAATTTGAGAATAGGAGTGCAAAGGTATTCAAAACTAATAGCACATCATTTTGACTCATTACGCCGGCAAGTCAGACTCGGGCTTATACTTTAAGAGGTTAAATTAATAGGCATCACTTTATTTAAAGCTGTTAATCCCTAAATTTATGCAAAATTTGAAATAGGTATACAAAATTGTGCAAAATTAATAGCACATCATTTTAACTCATTACGCCCGCCAAGTCAGACTCGAGCTTATACTTTAAGAGGTCAAATTAATAGGCACCACTTTATTTACGGCTGTTAATTCCCAAATTTATGCAAAAGTAATAGCACATCATTTTGACTCATTACGCCTGCCAAGTCAGACTCGAGTTTAAGAGGATAAAATAGTAGGCATTACTTTATGTATTTAAAGCTGTTAATCCTCAAATTTGTTCAAAATTTGAGAATAGGAGTGCAAAAGTGTTCAAAACTGATAGCACATCATTTTGACTCTACGCCCACCAAGTCAGACTCGAGCTTATACTTTAAGAAGTTAAATTAATAGACATCACTTCATTTAAAGCTGTCAATCCCTAAATTTGTGCAAAATTTGAAATAGGTGTACAAAATTGTGCAAAATTAATAGCACATCATTTTGACCCATTACGCCCGCCAAGTCAGACTCGAGTTTACACTAACTTATAATTAATAAGCATCACTTTATTTAAAGCTGTTAATCCTCAAATTTGTGCAAAATTTGAAAATAGGAGTGCAAAAGTGTTCAAAACTCAAGCGCATTTGACTATTATGCCCGCCAAGTCAGACTCGAGCTTATACTTTAAGAGGTTAAATTAATAGGCATCACTTTATTTAAAGCTGTTAATTCCCAAATTTGTGCAAAACTTGAGAATAGTTGTGCAAGTGTGCAAAATTAATAGCACATCATTTTGACTCATTATGTCCGCCAAGTCAGACTCGAGCTTATACTTTAAGAGGTTAAATTAATAGGCATCACTTTATTTAAAGCTGTTAATTCCCAAATTTGTGCAAAACTTGAAAATAGTTATGCAAAAGTGTGCAAAATTAATAGCACGTAATTTTGACATTACACCCACCAAATCAGACTCGAACTTATACTTTAAGAGGTTTCACTATTTAAAGCTGTTACTTCCAAATTTGTGCAAAATTTGAAAACAGTAGTGCAAAATTACTAGGAAATAATAGCAGAAGAGTATTCGAATGTTTCTTGTTTGAATTAGAGTGGGAACCGTCACGTTAATTCTCCATATAAAAAGATGCAGTGTCTAAATTTGTATGAGGACTTAAAAATTAAGTATGCAAACTGTGTAAAAAAAAATGGTACATTTAGTAGACTAGATTTGTTAATTTGGGGGACAAATTTAACGGACCTGCCATTTATAATTAAAGGATACTCAAATACTAACCTTTTATTAAGTGCAGTCCTTTGTAAAGGTAAATAAGCATATGGGTCAAATTTACCTTTTTTCTTAATATCACCTTTAGCTTTCTTAGATTTATACTCAAATCCTGCACCACTGTAACCACTTCGTACTGAAGATGTAGATGCACCAATTTGCCTAAAATCAAAATATATACAGGGTATAACAAGTTTTTATTTTGGTAATGGTACTAAAATTTACAAATTGAAGTTTTTGGCTATAAAATATTTTACACCATAATTTTTTGGCAAAAATGATTTATAAGAAAAAATAGCAAAAAAAATACATTGATACAAATTTAAAAAAAATAACATTTTGCCAACTTAATCAAAGAATAATTTTTCACTGCAAATTTCGTTAAGATGCAAGTCAATAAGAAACCCTATAAACGACCAAGTAACTCTAGAACAGTATACAAGTAAATAGAATGAATAATATAATAGAATGACTAATCTGGGACTTTATTCTTGAATTATAGGGAGTAGAAGGAACGAGAGGAAGGGGGCGTGTCTCTACTAAAACTCATTAATCGGTATTCTTGAATGGTGTTCGATTGAATAATGATAGAAGAATTGTTCCCTATTTCTTCTACTAATATTTTCGGGGAAGGCAGGGATCATTAAACCTAACCCTATATTTTTTGACATGTTTCACAAATTACGAATTCTGCAATCTGTCTGTAATATCTCTAGATTCTCTAGTTACTGTTTTGTGGTGATATCCTTCGAGAAATTTGAGGAAACGTTCATGTGATTTGTGTTTACTTGAAGGATTGTACAATACACGAATAAAATAATAATAGAATAAAATGTATCTGCCTAATATAGTATTAAAATATTTGTAAGTTCTTCTCAGTTAGCCCTCATTTTTTCTCTAGTGTAGCTGAGTGTTAACTTTCGTATACATTTGTTATTTTACCCTCAATATATTCTATTAAAAGTTCTTTTTGTGTAGAACTTACTGGATTTAGCTTCGGTTTTTTATTAATTTCCATTTTCTTTCCTTTTTATATTGCACCTGACACTGACAGACATAACTCTAAATAAACTAGTACTTATTTCATGACTAGCTCATCACTAGTTTTCATTCTACTGCCTATTTACTACTTTCTGATTGGTCGGACAACATTGTTCCTCGTTCTTCACTTTCATGGCTCGATCCCTTTGTGTTGAGAATACAGTATGAATTTTCCGATAGAACAGTAGTATAGCGAAATGAGGGAACGTTCCCCAGGGAGCATTCTATTCTCTCACCGTCAAGAATCAAGCTCCTGGTTACATGCCGTCATGCCTAAGGGAGGAGATAGTAAACTTTTGACAACGAAAGTGTTGCCTTGCACCTCATATGACCAGAATTAGCTTTGGCATAATTTCATCTAGTGGTAAAACAACCCTCCTGACTGAGGTGGAAAACAAAAACAATTTCGTACTGACAAAAACTGTGACGATTCATTTGAAGATGTTTATAACAGACTTATTTTTTGTTACATATGCAGGGCGACTCAACACATCTTTCAACCAAGTGCCGGTGATTTTTTCTGGTTGAGTGATATTTCACAAAATTTTATGTGCTGATCCTGAATTAAGTTTATAATTTTTCATTAAAAAATCCCTAATATGAACTCAAAAAAAATCATCCCTTAAAAAAATCCTAGCAGGCTGCATAGTAGTAACATTACTATGACACTTGCTTCTGTACGCCCTGTATATAAAACAAATAATCAAATTCGTTAAAATTTGAGAGGGGTATTCCGGATCAAATCTGAAGACTCACTATATTCACTGTTTTCCTTTTTACTCATAAGAATTTGCAGCAGAGTGAGTAGGATGATTATAGTGAAATAGTAATACAGCACTCCCAAGGGCACGCAGATATAGAGGACAAGCCGCTGGGTGAAGAGAAGGAGTAAGATGTGAGACGGCAAGCCGAAAAGTGTTAAGATGCATGAAGGTGGTCAAATGAACAGTGTGTATGAAAACAATTGAAGCGAGTGTAACAGTTGCTATTTGTTGAGCCTCAATAGATTTTCAATGCCCAAAAATAACTCCAGTATAAACCTTAGAGAAAGCTGCACCATTAGCTCATCAAAAGGTACGATTAACACAACAAAATGAAAAACACGAGACATTAGAAATTGTCTTCGATCCAAAGGGAAATTCGAGAATTTAAGTGACCAGATTTCGCGTTGGGAATATTTTATTTAATAAATTAAGCTTGATGTACTGTGTTAATTTTTGTGAGAACTATCCACTTGATCTAGAACCCACAGATAAAGGAGCTCTTTGTGGTTTGTCCATCCTGTTTAAATTTTTTTATTTCGCAAATTTCGTCATGAAAGTGGTCTGTGTAGGCATAGAAATCACACTTCATGAAAATTTTAATTTTTACCAACAACTCATACAAAGCATATCCACAAAGTAAGAGTACTGGGACTCTTAAGCTGTGGTTTTTGTTTTCGAAAAAGTTGGCAACACTGCATTGAAGGACAAGGTGTTGGGAGCAGAACAAGCACTCATTTGTCTCAGTCAGTTGAGAACTGTTGTTGTAGTGGCGTATTGAAAAAATTAATACCGCTATTCCGAATCCCACCAGCTGCGAGGGGAGAAGCATAATCCAGTTTCTTCTTGCTAAAGGAATGGCGATTCAAAATTTTTAACGAAATCAAACACTGTTTATGGGGATGCCCAGTGGTCGGAATTCCGAAAAAGCTGGACAAGTTGAAATTTCAAAGTCGTTGGTTTGCGTTAATACTTCAGAATATTATAGAGGAGTCACTACGTAGTTCTTTAAAGTGACAGAGAGCTGGCCCATGTGTATAGACCACAGCAACTATCGGAAGTATGCTGCGACACACTAGCATATTTCACTTGCCACTAACCCCTCGAAAAGCGGTGAATTGAAAATACATGCAAATTTTTACTAGAGTACGAATCATTGTGTGCAATAGAGAGGGTGTTCCTGGAGGTAAGTTAGAACACATTTGCACGTTTTTATTGTTTTAACAAAAACGTCTTGCAATTTCCATCGATTTCAAATCACATTAATCGTAAATTATCGAAATAGTTGTGATCCCAAGAGATCTTGCACTATTAAAAGTTGGAAAATACAGACAGGAGTGTCAATTTCATATATCAAAAGAGAAAACCACCGGATTTTTCCAGATTCAGGTTCTGAGTCATTTTTTGTGTCTCCGTGTAAGGCCGGTTTTAGATTGCAAGAGGCCTTAGTTATACAATAGCTAGCGTTTTAGTGTCTCTTTGCGTTCCAAACGAGCGTTTTTAATTCAAATTGTTTTTTTTTTATAAACAAGCACCTTTTTCATTTGCCATTTATCATATTTTTACAAGCTTTTATTTAACTTGCCTTGTTAGTATGGGTCAAGTCTTGCAACTGAATTTTAAAACAGTTTCCCCCCAACCAATTGAGCTGAAATTTTACATACACGTTTAGTTTGGACGACAATGCATGGTTAGCTAAGTGACGTCATTCTAAATTCAATATGGCGGACTCCCAAAGATGGCGGACCAGTTATTTTTTATGCACCCCCATGATATGGGTATCAAATGAAAGGGTTTGCTGCGAAGAATATGAAAATAAAATGAAGTCACTAAAAGCTTGCTTTTTAAAAAAAAATTTTAGATGAACTTATTATCTATGATCTTTCAATTCATAATTTATCATTTTCGACAGGATCAGGCACCAGTAAAATTACGTACACGATAAATAAAATTTTCGATTTTTGAAAAGTAAATTCCAAGAGAATTTAGAAACGCAAATCATCATTTTAGATCAACATTTTTTAAAAAGGTGCAAGATAGATGAAAATAAGAAAAATGGTGATAATGTTTTCATGATCTGACAGTTATGTAACAGATGACGATGTGATGAATTAGAATTAGCTAAATAATTAGAATAAGCTTTATAACAAGAATAAACTTCAATAGTATTTAGAAATTGTTTTGTTCGAAATGAGGAATTAATTCCAAATACATGCCTTATATCGCAGATATTTACCTTTCGTACTTTATTAATAATAATTAATTATCTCAAAAATCTTATATACGTTTTACGCGACCTCAATACCAGAGACACTCGAAATTTCAATTAGATTCAATAAATTAACATGATATATCGGCCGTTTTGTATCAGCCATCTTGAATTTGAAATTTTTGACAGCAAATTCGGTTTTAGCGACCTGAAAAACATAAAATCCCCACTTTTGGTGATGATGCACGCATTTTTGGACTTTTGTCCAGCTTTTTTTCGGATTTCCGACCACTGTGGGATGGTGTGATGAATCGTACTAATGTGTACAAGTGGTGTCGCAAGTATAAAGCTGGTAGAATGAATGTTCATAATAACAAAGAAGTAGACGTCCCTCAATCATGACTTATGAGATGGTGAATAAGATCGAAGAAATGCTTTGTGGCGATTGTCAATTGAATTTGGCGGGGGTGAAAGATTTTTCTGACAGGTATCAAAAAGCTCATCTCTCGGCTCACAAAATGCATTGAGATTGAAGGCAACTACGTCAAAAAAATGTTTGATGTATCTTTTTGAATACGTAAATTTTTCATAAAAATACTCTTACTTTGTGGATATGCCTCGTATTTTGCGTTATTTGGAATTCTTAAGTATTTATAAAAGGTAGTTTTACGGCCTTTAGCCAAAACTTATCAAATGTGTTATTTCTGTTTTTTTTTCATCATTATTGTAATTTTTCCAAAAACGTACCAATTTTGTAAAATATCTGATGTTTTCATTTATTTTTTTTTATTCAACAAACTTCACAAATTCCATGCTCCACATTGTTTGGGAACAATTATTAAACACACACAGAGGAGCATAAAAGATAAATTTCAAGTTTTGGGGATTGCAGTTTTACTTTTCAAGCACTATTGCATTATCATTTCTGATTAATTAAAAATTAAAATACCTGTGAATACCAATTCCGCCAGTTTTATATTTCATTGGAGGTTGACTTGCAGAACTGAAACCACTCTTAACACTAGAAGCATTCCTTTTTCTTTTACGATCGGTCAACAGTAATGTTTCGGCTGTACTGTGATTGTCATTTTCAGAATCTGAATCGTCTGAATTGAAATTTAATTTATTCTTCTTGCCAGAGTCGCTGTCAGTAGATTCATCATCATCTTTAATGATGAGTCTTCCATCAGAAGCAGTTTTAAAACCTCTGTCTTTTTCTTTCTTCTTCGCCTCTCCCGAGAGTTGAGGAGGCTGCCCTGGTTTGGTAGCTGAAATTAAAATAAATTTTATATTTCTGAGTTAAATCTAATTCACTATGCATGGAATACAAAAAAATCAATGTTAACTTTGCAAATAATATTTTAACAGTATGTAATTCGAAAATACCTGTAATTTTTTTAGTCACAGTTGGGTCTGTAAAATCAACAATGCTCTCTGAATCTTCCTCAATCCATGTATTGACTTGTTTCTTTGTCTTAACTTTAGGTTCATCGATTTCCATCTCATCAACATCAGAATCTGAATCCGCCAGAATTTCTTCCATACTGAAAATTAACAAGTTTTATTTAAGAAAATTATGAACAAAAATATATTCTACTTGAAATTCTCAGGATTGTTTTTTCACAATCTGATTCATGAACGAGTCATAAGGTATTAATTAGATGGACTAAGTAGTTTCGTGCTGAAATAAACCTATTCACAAAAAATGCTCTACCTCTATGCCCTTGTACCAATAACTATGCCAAAATTTACACCAACTGCATAATGTATATCAAAATTATGCAGCTCTGGGTTGTATTTTTTTATATTGATTTTATTACATTTAATTTATTTATAAAGTACGTTTCATTAAAAACTGAACACAGGCTTTAATGGTGTAGCAAAAGTATAACCTAAAATTGATTTATTCTTTATATTAAATACAGAGACAGTTTCAGTAAAATTTGTTTGGAAGACTTTTATTTACTTTTTGATATAAACTGATTTTAAAACATTTATTTAGAATTTTTTGTCTTATGAACTATCTCCTTTTATTTTCGAGATACGGAGCGACAAAATAAAATTTTTCAAATAGAATTTTTACAAAAATTTCCAAACGGTGCGAAATATTTTTATGAAATTTTGTATTTCGGGGTTTTTAAGGACGCCAAATATACTGGTCTAATTATTTTTTGGATATTTCATATAGGGCGTTAGTTATGCTACATTCCTATTACATTTTAAGTTCTAATTTTTTTAAGGTTAGGTTTTCTGGCTCCAATTTCTAATAATATAATTTTATTTTCTAAAAATAATGTACTCCTGTCAGAACTTCCTAATGTGGATGATTTTCGAGAAAAAAGGCTTTTAATTGAACTCTTACAATGTCACGGTGTATAAAATAAATTACTTTTCTCGAAGTAGGATTATGTCAAAACTTATTGATGGATGTCTCATAAACAACGCATACATTCTTTTTAAACTCTCTTTATATCAAATTAGTGATTTTTAGTGATTGTAATTAGTAATGCCTAATTAGCAGTGGCGGCCCGTGGGTTTGAATACAGGGGGGGGCGCATTCTGAAAAGAGGACGTACATTAAAACAGCTGCGGGGGGTGTGGGGGGCAGCCCCCCGCTTAGTGCCGCGGCGGGCGAAAAATTTTAAGGAATTTGAAGGTCTTTGTGTTTTGCAAGTACCCCAAAATGAATACTGTCAGTGTGTAAAGTAGCTACTTAGATACAATGCGAGAAATAAAATTCCAACGTGTGGGGGCTGAAGTGGATAATCGATCAACCAACCCAGTTAGGATATAATTATGTAGATTACTGTAATAGTTCATTCTGTATAGTTTTTGAAGTTCCTTTAAAAACATGGGCATCACTAAGATGTTTATCTAAAACGGGATCAATTTTTGCACTATAGTCTATCAGTTCTAAAAATACCCCTTTGTTTACCGAGTCACTTTTTTTATTATGTCCACGAAGAGAAAGGTTACATGTACCACATAGTTTTAAGATATTTAAAATTTTTGAAAGAAGCAATCGATTTTTCTTAACTGTTTCGTTATGACTATTTACTATTTATTTGTTCTGCATAAGCACTATTTAAACAAGAAGCAATATTTACTCTTCCTAAAAGTAAAAAACTCACCAACTTATTTTTGTGTTTAGGAGAATTTTCATGTTTCTTAATTTTAATTTCTAAATGTTTCAAGTCAGAAACTCCAGTTTTCGTCCAGTTTTCTTCGCCTCCTCCAAACAATAAACATACAAAACAAAAAAATCTATTTGTTTGGTCACAACCACACAACCACAGGGTCTTATCATAAATGTTTTTATCAAATTTGCGAATAAAAGCCGGCCTACTTTTGCACTCTTTCTGTACCTGAACTAAATTCAACACTGGCGTTGGACGTCCGTTATTTTTCAATTCGACTTTTTCCTCTAAACTTAAATTACTAATAACAAGTTTTTTTATTTCACGAACCCTCATTTTAAACTTAAACTTATAAAATATAATGTCTTAAAAAGCGCCAAACCAAAAACAAAACACGTATAACTACACTGCAGTGATACGGGATACTGCCACATTGAGTCCCAAAATAAAGCGCACGAGCCTATCGTCGCCTACCCCTCCACGTGCCAATTTGTCCAATCATATGTAAAAATATGCTTGCACGGTGGACTACGATTTCACCGTCCGCGATGGACTGGGGATTGCGCGCGCGGTTAAACATAAGTCTTTGGTACGATCATAGATGACAGATGGCATTAATCTGAGCTACGTTCACGGAGTACATGCACTTTATGCAACTAACCTAACATCCAATAGATATAGATTGCATGCTAATTAGATTTCTTATTGATTTAAATAAATACATTATTTTAAGTTTATAGTTTGAAAATATCTGGGGGGGCAGAGTCCCAGAGTCCTCCTTCACGAGCCGCTACTGCTAATTAGTCACTAAAAGTTCTAACAAGAGTACTTTATTTTTAGAAAATAAAATTATACATTAGAAATTGGAGCCCGAATGGTAAAAAACCTAACCTTAATAAAATTAGAACTTAATATGTGATAGAGAAGTATAGCATAACTAGTGTCCTCTATTAAATATCCAAAAAATAATTAGATCAGCGTATTTGGCATCCTTAAAAACCCCGGAGTACCAAATTTCATAGAAATATTTAACACCGTTTGGAAATTTTCGTAAAAACTCAATTTTAAAAATTTTATTTTGTCGCTCTGAATCTCGAAAACAAGAGGAGATAGACATTATAATTCACGAGACAAAAAATGATTATTTTTTGTCGTACTATCCCCCTGTATTTACGGGAGGTTTTTCTGAAACGCCCTGTATAGTAGAACTTTGATTATTTGGACACCAGCTAATTCGGAAATCTGGAAAGTAATCTGGGATGAAGTCCAATATTTAGGACTACATTATATTAAATGGAGCATTTTAAAATGTGCGAATTAAAGTTTACTTCAGATTACAGGGTTCCAGCTTCGTAAATATTTGTGTTAAAACTTACAAGAAATTAGCACAATCCTTTTTTTTAATTTACGTATGTAATTAGTTCCATTTTTTAATTCATTAGTATGTGTTGTTGAGTGTGTTTAACAAACGTAAACATGCATGTCCCTACAATTAAAAGATAAAAATGGATATTATACACACATAAGACGATGTGAAGAATTTTGGAAAAATATTGCCACTCTTTGGAAAATCCACGACAAGGTTTTTATCTTCATAACACATTTTTGAAATCAATATAAAAAAACAACCTTTTTTATATTTTTTCTTTATGTCATTTGTCACTAATCTAAAATATTCATTAACTCTGATTATTCTTGGATTATCCTTTCTTCTAATTTTCTTATAGGTTGAAAAAAGGTGCGTCATGATGTTGTAATTATTTGTTGTGCCACCTTTGCAGTCTTTGTGTTAATACTTTTACGTTTATAGAAGGTTCAAATTGTCTGTGCAACCTTCGCTAGTCAGACTAATGTTGTACCTTGTTTGTGGAAACTGAAGGATATATTTAAATTCATTATATTCACAGATGGAGGACAGTAAAGGGTTCAACTTATTAGGAATCCTCAAACCCATAGGTAGTACTACTATGAAAAGAAACTTTATGCAGTACAAACTTGATTATCCAGACTAGGAGAGATTGAATGCAAACCAGATTATCGAAAACACTGTTAACAAAATGATATAATATTTAGTTATAATATGCATTTTATTTAATTTAAGATACTTTCTATTACGTTCTTCAAAGATAGAGAAACAAAATTTAAAATACATAGTTTGTTCTATGTAATATTCAAACAAAATATTTAAGTATTCTAAAACATAAAGAACATAAAGTACATAAAAAACATGTGTATAAGTTAAATGATTGATGTATTAGTTGGTTAAGGTGGCCATATCCCTGGCCGAGAAATAGTCAAATTTCTGGCGTTTTTAGGTTTTTAGGCGAAATCTTGAAAAATAAAACGTGTAGAACAAAAGAAAGCCCAAAAATAAAATCCTTGATGTTCTGTTTATTCATTGTTACTATTTAAATTTACTCAAATAAAATAACTTAAAAAAAGCGTTTGTAAAACACGTTTGCTGTTATCCTAACCCCACATTTTAAGCATTATTTTCACATACTTATAAAATAAAAGTAAACAATTTTATATGTAGAACTAAGCCAGTATATGTTATAAGAATATTTACATGTGGAGTTATATATAAAAAAGTTGGTATTTTCGTAAATTTCAGTACCTAAAACCTTGATGGTTTGATCGTTTATTGCACCTGTTTATTCGTTTTACTGCGGCGTCTTTGAAAATACACAGATGTCGTGACATAACATTTCTGTTATTTGATAAGCTTCAAATTATTCAGTTATTAAATTACTTAAATTATTTGTCTTTGTGGAAAACACTATTTCAAGAATATGGCGCCCTTAAGTATGACCGAGTAATCAATGGTGCAATTAAAACTATAGTTTTGTATTGGGCAATGCATATGAATGACCGCAAAAACAATAGATTTGTAAAACTATGTTTGAACTCGGATTTATAAGTCGATACTATGTGCGGACTTTTGTGATAAGGCCTATCATCATTGGTCGAATCCGTAAACGTCCATGCACATCTAGCTGAAGTCTTTTGAAAATGACTCGGTGAAATATAAAATGAATAGATTTATTGCACACAGGCGATTTTCTTTTGTTTTAGTTAGAACTAATCCGTTTATGTGTGTGTTCTGTGATCACCATCTGCCGACTCCACAACTATGCTCTATGAAATGGAGAAATCCGATTATTGCCAATTAATAATATCTATCTGACTTTGTAAAATATTCCAACTTTGCAAAATGGAAAAGTATCGGAATGGTCATATTTCATTTGCGTAACTCATATATTTATGCGACAATTAAAGGAGCCCATATAAAAATTCCAAACAAAATTTTAAATTTGCAAAGCAGAAATAATACCTAAATAAAGAAATACATGTTATGTAATAATTGTAGTTGTAGCTGGAAATTTATCATTTACCCATTTTAGCTTTCTCTCCTGATTTTACATTTAATTTGCACCACTCGATCCTCTAACTTTTTATATGTAGCGTGTGCTTGTTCACATTTGCAAATCTCATCAGCCAAATGAAATTCGTTGAACTGTATTTAGAGTTTAACACGTCCAATGGTGATACATTTCAACTTTATTTAAAATTGGCTGCAAATTTAATTTTTGCTTAAGTACATTTAAAAATATGCTTATAAGAACCTGGGCACTATGGTCTACTGATAATACCCTGATGCCAGTGGGTGTTCAGAAACATCCTATTGTTTTAGCAGGCTTTTGCCACTTCCAAGCTCCTTAAAGCGTCTAAAGGGGTGGAGGAGGAAAGGACGGTGAGGGGGTTGGTCCGTTTAAGGTGGAAACGATTCAGTATTGCTAGTAGGTACTAAAAAAAAAATTTTCAATTTTTTCAGCCAAAAATATATTAGGCCAAAAACCGGCCGTAGGGACCCTCCTATTTTGGTGAAAATAAAAGATGGTGTTTTCAAGAAAATTAATTTTGAAAAAAATGACTTCCGTTTTTCTCATTTATCTCGGAAAGTTTTACAGCATTTTGAATTCTGAAAACACCAGGTAAAAACTGATGAAATTCTGCACATTTTGAAAAAAAAATGTTTCGATAGGACGATTTGAGGCAAAATGACGACTACTTGATAAAAATATGCATTTTCATTTTTGGCGGAATAACGCTGTCATAATGTAAATTTTGGCACGAGCTTCAAAAATGTTTTTCGGAAAAACAAAAAAATGGGTCATAAAATTCAAAATAGATTAACATCCCAGTTTCAAAAAAATTGAAAAGGTCGATTTCTTTTGCTCGTTGAATCCATATGGAAACTACCATATATTAGAAAAGTTATATAATGTATTTTTGTAAGAATAGGAAAAAACTGTTCAAAATGAAATTCATGGCACAGAAAGCTGTTTTGCACAGTAGTGCCATATACAAATATGAAGATATTACATAATATATATTTTTACGTCAAACTGAAACCTTCACTGTCCTTTATCTATGGCTAGAAGGGATTGTATACATTAAAGTTTTTAAAACTTAAACATAAATGTTACCTTTTAGGTTTGGCCTTGATAGTAAAGTCTTCATCGTCACTATCTTCTTCCTGCATTTCTGCTTCTTTCCTCTTCTTTTTACGTGCATTTAACTTTCTTAGGTTCCTTAAACGCTTATACATTACAGTGTCACTCGTAGGAACGAATGGAGTCAAACTTTCACACCCATACTTCCTAACTAACCTGTCCAAAATATCACGAATTTTCAACCTAAAATGCCTTTTACAGTCTTCAGTCATCTTTGTTAATGACTTTACCTAATATAATAAACAGATTTAAAAAATCGGAATAAATACATATTTTTTATGTACTTACAATAGGCTCCAAAGATCCTGCTACTACTGGACTTGGTAGCACAACACAATATGTCTTTATGAAACTTAAACAAGACGCTACTACTTCTCTGGTGGGTGAAGCCATTAAAATACAAATGTTTTCTAAAATTATTTTAATATTTTCCATTCCCAGAGCTCCTGAAAAGATGAAAATCGATTCAATAAAATGCCACTTAACATGCCTATAAAGTCCATAAAAGATTATTTAATATTCCCTACTATACAGGGTGTTTTATATCAAAATTTATTTATTTTCACATAATTGAAATATGTATCTCCGTACATTAATTTATTATTTCGCTATGTTGAACATTAGTCGCTAAGAATAAAATTTGCAATGTAATGAAATAAAAAGTTTCAATATATTACACAGAGCATTCAATTTTTTTGGTTAGATTTTGTGTATTTGAAAACTCGGAAACTTATTCCGAACACCCTACATTTTTTTGTTCCACGTTGTGTATACAGGTAAGTGTTGAAGTTGTAACTTTTTTAAATATTTTCAATTTTCTTTTTGTTTTCAAGAATTTTTTATAAAAATGAATATCACATGTCACATGTCACATAATCGGTTTAAACTTAAATCAGCATGGAAAATGTTGAACCATTGACAATTGCCATGGAAGCCTGAACACAAGTTGAGTAGCAAATCAATTAAAAGATTTGAATCTAAATAAATCCTGTCTAAATTGACGAGTTAACAACTAACTATATTGCTTAACTTTTCTAAAATTACATTCGTAAATCTATCCTATTTAATGTGGTTTTATATTACAACTTATCAGTCTTTTTTCACACATACCAAAAGAAAATAAAAAGGAACAGTTTGTTTCAAAATTGTACATGGCCATATGTGACAGAGAACAAAAAGTAATTAAAGAAATCATTAATATATTAATAATAATATTAATACATGTATTTATTGAATATGGGCTAAACATATATGTATAAGAAATAATAAGACTGTGATAAAAACATAAAACACACCACAGAAATGAGACAACCCCCAAATCCAAAGCCTGTGCGAAAGGGGGCTAGACTTGAAAAAACGCGGACAAACACCCATTATCCATCAATATTGCCAGTGCCGACGCCGGGGATGGAACCCGGACCAGAATAGGAAGCCTATATTTTTTAAAGTTTTTTCTACGGCTTACCGACCACAACAATATGAAGTCCCTTTCGGAGACTATGCTTACATGTAGAGGGTTTCCTGCCAAAAGAACGTATCCACAAAAATGCCATTTTGGGTTTATGAGCTAACTTTGATACCCAATACTGTAAGTTTGTCGCGACAAAAGGTTGTATCTACCACGCCAATAACAACAGCGCCATCCTTTTCTAGGTCGTATGAACAATTATTACCTTGATTAACCTGGCAGAAGGTTGTATGTACATACGTCCCTTTGTAATGAAACTGTACATATATTTTCTAGGTCGTATGAACATATAGCTTTCTGGCATGACAAAATTTCATGGCATTCACGAGTATGCGTTCAGTTAGTTGGCGTTCATAACCTCAATTTTTCTGTTGTGTTTACATATGGTTACTCTTCAGTTACAAGTTAAAGTACCTAGTCAAGTTTGTACCTGTTGTTCTCAAATAATTCGCTAAGCAGATAATAATATGCGATAAATATACTAATCAACAGTTACGTCCTTACCTTATAAACAAACTCTTAAATTTTACTACTGATTTTTGAAATGTTTTCATTAGTTCCTGAAAAATAATGTTTTGGTTGATACGCCCTTCTGGCAGGAAACCCTCAATATACTGTAGAATTAATCATACATATGTGATGTATCAGCTTGTGTCACCAGTATATTTTGAATAAGAAACAAAATTTCATGTGGTTTGCTTCAGCAACCAATTTCACGAACCTTGTTTTCCCAGTATGTCATCGGACGAACTAAATAAAAATTTTTATATTGTTTATATTTACAGCTAACTTTAATTATTCATTAGACTCTATATTCAAAAATATATTTTGATATATAAGCCATCAGACAATGTTCCAAAACTAAACTATAAAGTAGAGAACGCATTAGGTGGTCTAGGTCCCGTCGCATCGCGGTCCATTCTGGAATGAGCTGATCGCGAACAGTTAGGATCATTCGTCAGCCGAACCCACAAGAAATATACCAATTTCAGTCTTGTTAATCTTCATCAGTATGCCATAGGTGAGACAACCGATTAAAGATCTATTTAAAACAGAAGGATAATACATCGGTTATCTCACTTGTGGTATATTGATGAAGACTAATAAGTTTGAAACTGGTAAATGTCTAATAGATTCGGCTGACAAATGATTCTAGCTGTTTACTAGAGTATTGGAGGCGTAACTCTAAGCTGGTCGGGACATGTAGCCCACAAAGTAGTTGTTTCCTACAATGTTATCAGATAAAAATCAGTTTTGGTGATAGATTGTGCTTTCATAGTGCCTGTGAAATGGGAGGCCTAAGCATAGAATAACAGTGACCATTCATAGATATAGCACTCCGCTATGTCACATAATTATGCACTAAATTTACACTCTGTATAGTATGACAAGACGTCATTACCTTTTACTATTATCTAGCACATGAAACAATATGTTGAGAATGACACTAACTAGGAAGAAAATACAGAGGAAGATAGCCAATAATTTATTTTAATAAAAGCGGATTTCTGCCAGAGGGATAAAACGGGACAAGACAGAAACTCGTGTTAAATTCAAATAAATTGCTATTTTTTAAGAATATTTTTAAGCTTGAACTGTTGGTGAGGTTTTCATTTTATTTTGGGTATGCCTTCTGAAAACGGTAATATCAAACAGTTTCGACGTGTTTGTGAATTGTATCGTATTAGTGGATATGATGATAAGGTTCTATTTATTATTTTAATCAAATGTAGATCAATGCTGGTCAATCATTTTTATTTTAGCATAATAAGACTGTTTGAACATGTTTTTTTTATAGAATGTAGTATATATCGTCGATCTTGCAAATGGACGTAAGTGACAAAAAGAAAATCGATCAAAGTATCTTTTTGAATTAACCTTATAGGATAATGAAAGCATAAACGGTCTGGTTATTTGTTAAGTTTTAAGTGCGTGGCATTATCTATAGAGTGCCCACAGATTAAGTACACGTGGGGTGCAAATGACAAAAATTTTTTGAATTGAAATTTGAGTTTTTGGGCACCATATCTGCTTGGCCTTAAGCTAGGAAGTTGAAAAAATTAGTCAAATTAATTAATGTCCAGGGTGTTTTTACGATGAATTTTGAAAAATTGTCAAGAGTAAAGTACCTTTGTTTTTAATATCAAAAATATTTACTTAAGAAAGTTATTGAGAATTAAAAGTTATGAAAGATTGTCAATTTTCAATTTGATAATAATAATAATATATTTATTTCATAAGACTTTGCTCACACAAAGTATCGAAAATTGGCCAACTTTTCTTTTTTATTTTTCACAACTACAAAGTACAATTTCCTAATTATTTATTAGAGAAAAAAACGTAACGAAATAAACAAATATAATGGTTATTTAAATGCGCTGCCACACATCGCTCAGCGTGCTTAGTAAATTCTGCGTAGACGTTTTAGATTTCTTGAATGGGAATGGCATTAATTGTATCTTTTATTCTTCGTTTGAATTCAAATAAATCGTTATTGAACGGTGACCCATAGACTTTCTGCTTGAGATAGCCCCATAAACAAAAGTCCATTACAGTTAAATCAGGACTTCTAGGAGGCCAAGAAATTGGGCCATTTCGCCCAATCCACCATCCAGGAAAATGACCATCTAGCCATTCTTGAATGATTCACGTTGAATGTGCTGGGTGTTCGTCTTGTTGAAAGTAAAAAAAAAAACAAAGTTGGCAAACAAATTGATAATTGAAAATCTGTTATAACTTATAGTTCTCAATAACTTTCTTAATTAAATATTTTTGATATTATTAAAAACAAAGGTATGTTTACTCTTGACAATTTTTGAAAATTAATGGTAAAAACACCCTATGCATTAATCCATTAATTAATTAATTGGATAATTTTGTTAACTTCTTAGTTTAAGGCCGAGCAGAGATGAAGCCCAGAAGCTCAAATTTCAACTCAAAAAGTTTTTGTCATTTCCACCCCACGTGCGCTCAATCCGTGAACACACTGTATGAGCAGTCACCAGAACTACGTATTAGGAAGCCTTCTAAAAGACCAGACAAAATTTCATCAATATACATGCACGAATTTATAACGTTTTGCATGAAGCGAATTTTTGATAGTTGTCAAACGCTCCTTTGCATTATCAACAACAATGTGAACCACCCAAAATTAAATGTAAAAAAGTAGTCATCACTAAACAGTGGTTTAAATTTGATCGCTCAATTGTTTTTAAAAACAAAAATTACTTCAAAGCTTAAATAAAGCTGGAATTAAACGTAATCTGATTGGGACAGTATATTTGATTTGTTTGCATTTTGATGATGTTCTATTTTTTCCGATTTCAAGAAAACAAAACATAGGGTGCATTCAGCGCTGGAGTGTACAGGCTGGTCCATTTTCAGTGGGATTTCAGGGTATTTCAGAAACTACTAAAGATATGGCAAACTCAACTGTCAAATCAGAAATTTGCTATCTTCATTTGTTTCTGAGTTACATTGCATTTCTCGTTATTATGACACTTTTGAATATGTCTGTATCTCAACTGTTAAATAAGGTAGAGTTAAAGAGAAAACTGCTCAAAACTAATTCTTTGGCATAGAATTGAATGCCGGTATTAGATTTTTAGTAGGTCATAGGATTCCAGAGTTATGACCCAAAGTTATATTTTTTAAATGGAAATCGCAGCTGGTCATGACCTAAAAAAATGGAGATTTTTTTTTGCTTTTCAGCAATATATCACATGCTATAGTTATTTTTACAAACACAGAAGATACGGGGTGTTTTATATATAAATTCGATCCTTTTTTGATTTTAATATGGCTGGCTATGAAAATACATACAAAACTATAATTGTTACTTTTACAAAACTCATATCTGTTGTAAAAATAGTTTATTTAAAATATATATTACAGATAAGAAAAGATGGAGTTTTCAAATTTTTATTCCACTTCAACTCAAGTTATAATATTAAATGTAAATTAAACAATAGTAAGTACCTACATCAGGAGTAGGCAAGTAATTTTAGGTGGGGTCCAGATACTTTTGAAAATTTTTAACGAGGTCCAGAAAAAATATTCATATTTCTTACTAATTTTTTATTTTATTTTGGACTCAAATTTAATCTGCTTACTAACCATTACGAACTCAAATCAGTCACACAATTGTAAAGTACTAGAAAAAATGATAAGGGTGGCACTCAAACATAAAAAAATAGTTTTTAAATAATTTAATTGAGTAATTTATACTTTCAAAACATTTTTGGCGGTCCAGTATTTTACCTTCCGCGGTCCGGACCTGAACCACGGTCCGCCAGTTGCCGACCGCTGACCTACATTATCATATAAATGTTCAATTGCCGTCCCTCAACTGTCACACATTTAGCGCAACTTCTGGCAACGTTTCGGGTAGCATTCATTAAATGTATATTAGAAATATTATTAAAAGAATTTTCAACATTTCGTCAAAGTTCCTCGATAGAGTAAAAAAGAATTTTAAATATGTCTTTTAGAAAACCCCAAAGGAAAAAGTCCTACGGACTCAAATCACGTAACCTAGATGGCCATCTGATCGGCCCGTTTGTTCCTATCCACCTATCTCCTAAAATTTCGTTAGTATTATATTATCGTACGAGTATACGTTGTGCATTTAAAATAAACGTCATATTTTTACAACCGATATAAATTTTGTAAAAGTAGGAATTATAGTTTTATATGTATTTTCATAGCCAGCCATATTAAAAAGGAAAAACATATAGTTTATATAAAACACCCCTTATATCCATTATTTGTAAAAATAACTATAGTATGTGATATATTGCTAAAAAGCAAAACAAAATATATATATTTTTTAGGCCATGGTCAGCTAAGATTTCCAATTTCCATTTAAAAAAATATACCTTTGGGTCATAACTCCGAAATCTTAAGATCTNAAAACACGTATCTTCTGTGTTTGGAAAAATATCTATAACATGTGATATATTGCTGAAAAGCAAAAAAAAATCGCCAATTTTTTAGGTCATAACCAGCTACGATTTCCATTTAAAAAATTATAACTTTGGGTCATAACTCCGGAATCTTAAGACCTACTAAAAATCCAATACCGGCATTCAATTCTACGCCAAAGAATTAGCCTTGAGCAGTTTTCACTTTAATTCTAACTTATTTAACAGCTGAGATACAGACATGTTAAAAAATTTTACAATAACAAGAAACAAATGAGGATAGAAAATCGAGCTCGAGAACGTCGTGTCAGATTTATCATATCTTTAGTAGTTTCTGAAATACCCTGAATTCCCATCGAAAATGGACCAGCCTGTACATCTAAACGATTGTTGAAAATTTTCAGGCAAAAATACGAAGCAGTTAGTAAGAAGTGAGGTTAGTTTATTTTCCAGATACAGTGTTTTCTAAACTTGAAATCATATTAGCCTTGTTGAATACACCGATAGATACAATTGCCCATTTGGTGGAACTTCGTCTTAAGAGTCCTTTTTCTTAAATGCCTTTGTACAGTATTGTTTTTTGTGAAAATGCTCCATTGTATAAAATTTAATTATTAATGTAAATTTAAAAGTTACTTTCACTTCCATCTAATAAAATTTTGAAGATTTCTTTTTCCATTAATAGTTAAAACGATCAACACATTTTTTAAAAATAATACGTACCTATCAATAAAAATACAATAAAAATATTAAATTTCGCTAATAACGAATATAAAAATCAAAAGCATTTTTACTTCACATAACTATAAAATGAAACAACTCACCAGAAAAATTATGTAGAATCGACCCTAAAGCTAAAATTGTGCAGCTCGTTAGTTGGGCTGTTCCAGCTAGCCCTGCTACAACCATAGTAACAAATTCCTGCACCTGATTGTGCTGCATTAATAGATTGCCAATTGTATTGAGAACTTCATACGCCATTGATCGACATTTTTCGTTAATGTCTTTACAACACATAACAGCCTCAGGTATCACTGACCTAATCAATTTACTCTCATGATCTAAGTTTGGCTGTGCTTTAATCAAATAATTTAAGCATCGCAGCCGAGCACTTTTACTCGACACTGCCGCTGTATTGAGAGACTTCATTAACAACTTTTGAATTTCTTTTCTGTTGTTTTTAACAAATTCCTTACAGCCTTGCGACTCACTCGCACAGATTTCTTCAAGAATTCTATAAGCCTTCTTCTGTTCTTTATTGTTTTTAATGTCTGGTAAATTATGAACGCACTGCTTGTAAAGAATATCAACATTTTCGCTGCTCTGATAAGGTACCAACGCACGGATCAAGTCTAGTATACTCTCCTTTATAAAATGGTCTTCCGGATCATCGGAGGAACTATTTAATCTATCGATAGCGTGACTGAAGAGTTGTTGATTTAATTCTGGTTTTGCAATTGTTAGATACAGCTGAAACAATTTCATAATAAATAAAAAATAATACAGCAGATATCTTGTGAATGAAAATAAACATTATGTTGGAGAAATTGAATATTTGCGATCATGCTTAAGAAAATGGTCATGTAATTCATTGAGGATTGGCCAAAATTTTGGGGAAGAAAAATAATAAAATTAAAAGAAAATTAAAAGAGAAAATTATTTTGTTGAATGGTGAAAGACGTGTTTCACATTATTCTGTGACCTTTGATCCTTGTTGGTTACAAATTCTAAAAGATGAAGTAATAATAGAATAAACATCATATGACATCTTTTACTGTAGAAACAGGCAAATATAAACAAATTTAAACTTAAAAAATAATTAAAAATGAAAAGTCATTACAAATTCGAAATACGAAAATAGATACATTTTTGAAAATTTACATGTTAATGTGTTTGTTGTACTGGATTGATCTGCTTTATATAGCGAGGTAGCATTTCTCATATTATAACTTACTTTAATAGTGTCTAAAGCAGCCAGTCTCTGACCTTCTTCATCGGTACCAATTGGTTTTGTAGTGTAAACGTTGAATAAAATTGGAAGATAATTTTTATCGAACCTAGTTAACTCTTGTAGATCATCCACATTTTCATTCTCCTTGGCACTTGCGATCAATCTCCGCAAAGATGCCATGACTGCCAATCGTAATTCTTTCTTATCCGATATAGCTGTTCCCAGTATTTTAGCAATTGTCTGTAAGAATAGAACTTTTCTAGAGAATAGAATATAATAATCTGGATTATGTAGCTTTATTAAATTAAAATTTAAAAAATAATAAAATACAGTATACAGGGTGTCCCGTTCACGTTTCAAAAAAACTTGTGTGCAAGTTCCTCACAGGGAAAATAATAGGGGTAGTTCATGTAATGTTTTTTTTCTTAGACCACCTGTTTTCGAAATACAGTGCGTTGAAGTTGTTACTTTCCAAATGGTTTTCCTTAATTATCTTTAAATCTACTATAGATAAAAATGTCAAAATTTGTACACGAGTAAACATCAACTGTGCGTTAAGAATAATGTGCAAACGGTTTCTTTCTGAAAAGCAGTGTCGCCGATACAGGTAATTGAAGGGGTCAAATCGAAGAAAAAATATGTTAAAAGTCAAAATTTATTACATTTCTAAACGGTTCTGTAAACTCTAAAGGATACTACAAAAAAAGAAGGTATACTTGTCGAAATTCGGTAGCATGTACCATATTTGAGAAAAATGAAGTTGCATTTTTTTTTGCTCACATAAAGCGGCACAAGTACATTAACAAAATATTAAATGGAAAGAGGACCTTATCATAAAATGAGCTGAAGACATTTAGCTACCAACAGTATTTGCATTTAAGACTATAATTTTAATTTCTTATGTATCACATGAAACAGTTAAATTGTAGAACATTTTATTAACTAAAAAAAAAAAGAAATTTTAATTTATTTTAAGTTTCAGTTTGTTGTAAACTAACATTTAAAAGAGTAAATCAAAATAAACAGATTATGGTAATTAATTGATTAAATGTGCAAACTCGAAATACTACAGTAGATACTGAAATTGTCCCCCATTTCCTTCTATGCAACTTCATTTTTCTCGGAAATGATACATGCTACCGAATTTCAACAAGTATACCTTTTTTTTTGTAGTATGCTTTCTTTAGAGTTTACAGAAACGTTTAGAAATGTAATAAATTTTGGCTTTTAACATATTTTTTTTTTCGATTGTACCCCTCCAATTACCTGTATCGGCGACACTGCTTTTCAAAAAGAAACCATTTGCACATTATTCTTAACGCACAGTTGATGTTTACTCGTGTACAAATTTTGACATTTTTATCTTTAGGAGATTTAAAGATAATTAAGGAAAACCATTTGGAAAGTAACAACTTCAATACACTGTATCTCAAAAACAGGGCGTCTAAGAAAAAAATTTTACATGAACTACCCCTATTATTTTTTAACATAGGCCAACGCTCGGGGTCAGGTTCCTTACTTAAAGACAATATTATTTTTTCATATTAACATGGTTCCGATTTTGCTTCGTTTCTTAGCTACAGTGTCCAAGTTCTAAATTAAAATATATTTTTTCCAAAAATATAGATTTCCACTTGAGGGAATTAAATTAAATTTGAGCAACTAACTATTTACAAACGAATACACATTCCTAGATATTATTATGTTGAACATGAATTACAGGACCGGACTACCTTGCAAGCCCTTGGATTTAAAATGTTGAGTGTCCACCTTCAGCTCAAATACAACCCCGAATTCGTTTTTTTGACTCGTCGAAATATCGCGATGTCTCGGCGAATTAAAGCGAATTCATCTGATACAGTGACAGGAGTTTTATAAACAAGCTTTTTCATGTTTCCAGAAGTAGAAATCTATAGGTGTTATATCTGGGGAACAAGGTATACACGCAATTGGACCATTTTTTCCAATCCAGCGGTTTCCAAAAATTTTATTCAGATATTGTCGAACTGGAACCGCAAAATGCAGCTGTACTCCGTCATGTTGGAACCATAAACGATTATTTCTCATGTTTAGACGAAGCAAATCTGGGAGGTTTGGAACTGCTTTAACTATTAAACTAAAAATTTGCATACATGTCTCAAGGTGTGTGTGGTGAGCCTAAGCGGAAGTTAACACGTGAAAAGTCTCTTCATAAATTCGTTTGTTTTTGGTGGTATGTACTGTCTAATTAAATTTTAAATATTCATATTAACAAGTACAGTTTGGGAAAACATATAACCAAAAATTAGTTCAGCTAATCGATGATGTTGCTGCACAAACTTTTAAATCAATCTTGAATACCCTAGCTAGTATATAAATATTGAAATATAAAAACTCCAACAGTATCAGTTGGTTTACAAAAAGTATCTGGTATCTGACTTCTTGCTTTTATCTAGAATTTATTTAAAGGAGACCACGCACTGTGTTAATAAAATTTATATTTCGTATCATGTCGAACACAAATAATCATATTACATTAAAACAATTGTATGATGAAATTGTTAGAAACAGAACTGAGATAAAGAATTTGATTAATGCAAGTGAGTCAAGATTAGAAGTAGAAATCAACGAGTTGAATGATACAGCCGAAAAGCTTGAAACTGAAAATCAGATTCTAAAAACTGAGTTAGAAAAAGTTAAAGTAACTGAGAAGAAAAACAACATCCTAATACAAGGTGATTCATTAACAATGGGAAAGTCGAAAGCTGAAGATACTACACGTGAAATGGTGACCATTGGCCCAAACATGCCTTTTCCGAAAGTTGATAGTTTCGGAAATACAGGGTGTTGAAAGTTAAAATTTTAAATCGTTTTTTTGCGATTATTCTGAAAATATGTAGGTTAGGAACTTGAAAATTTGTGAAACTATATTTTTTTAGGCGACGAATAAGATGCGTGTTGTAATTTCAGCATTGCTCATAGAGGGCGCCACTTACGACCAATTTTACCGAAAATTTAGTTAATAACTTTTTACCCTGTATATTTAACATGAAACTTGATTCAAAACCTGAAAGAGCTATCATTTTTCCATTAATTATGTACTCTTGTTTCATTTCGGTATCTCGATCCGTTTTCGAGAAAAATCGATTTAACGAACACTATGTTTTGATAATATGAGAAATTAAAAGCGAAACAAACCAAGTGTTTCTTCGTGTTATTACAACAATTAACAATAAAACAAATAAAATACGTAATTATGATTTAAAGTAATTGTTCGAAGAATCCACCGTTGACACTGATACACTTTACACGTTTTCTGAGAGATCTTCGAGTTTGAAACAACATATTGGGATTGCGTCTGACTTCGTTGGCAGCGATTTGTATTCTTTGCCACAACTCTTCACACGAGCCAATAGATTCTTTGTAAACTATATCTTTCATTCGAGACCAAATAGAAAAATCAAGAGGATTGAAGTCCGGACTTCTGGATGGCCAAGCAAAAATGCTTACATGGCCAATCCAGCGATTTGGAAAAACTGCATCTAAATATGCACGCACTGGCCAAGAAAAATGCGGTGGAGCTCCGTCGTGCATGAACCACATGTCTCTTCTTAAATAAAGTGGAACTTCTTCAAGCCGTGGAAGCATTTTTACTTGGCCACCCAGAAGTCCGGACTTCAATCCTCTTCATTTTTCTATTTGGAAGAATCTATTGGTTCGTGTGAAGAGTTGTGGCAAAGAATACAAATCGCTGCCAACGAAGTCAAACGCAATCCCAATATGTTGTTTCAAACTCGAAGATCTCTCAGAAAACGTTGTGTAAAGTGTGTAAATGTCAACGGTGGATTCTTCGAACACTGACTTTAAATCGTTATTACGAATTTCATTTGTTTTATTGTTAATTGTTGTAATAACACGAAGAAACACTTGGTTTGTTCGCTTTTAATTTCTCAAATTTTCAAGTTCCTAACCTACATATTTTCAGAATAATCGCAAAAAAAACTATTTAAAATTTTAACTTTCAACACCCTATATTTCCAAAACTGTCAACTTTTGAATAAGGCATGTTTGCGCCAATGGTCACGATTTCACGTGTAGTATCTTCAGTTTTCGATTTTCCCATTGTTAATGAATCACCCTGTATTTGGCTTATTTAAGAGAAGTGAGTCACATTCTTGTGAACAGTTGTGTTTGAAATGAAATAATTTATTGTCGAGCTCCATAACTGAAACTGACAATAATTTTTTCTTCCTTGGTAAGGAAGAAAACAGTCCACTCAAAATTAAATTCGTACGTTTTCTTACTAAATTGGAAATTCTAAATAGCAAAAACAAATTACATGGCTCTAATATGAGTATTGTTAATGACTTAACGCATGAACAATTAAAAAATCAGAAGCTACTCAGGAAGTATATGCTTCATGCTAAACAAGAAAAGAAGCATATGTATATAAAAGGTGATAAGTTGTATGTTGACAATGAAATGTATACCGTCCATGAATTGGAAAGTATAACTAACGAAGTAGTAGATACCAGTTACGAATCCTCCGGTGCTTCCTATACACCTGCTACAACCTTACCTGTATTAGTGAACAGTGACCTCGGAATTGGTGTTCTACCAACCCATAAGGAAGATAGGCCATTGGATAGTAATGGTGCAGTCTCGAACTTTTTTGCGGGAACATCTAAGAAGCCTAATACTAGATTGCGGGATCGAAGAGGCTGTCTTAATTAATCTATTTATTTTTAAATAACTGTATGTTGTAACATATTACGGAGTATTTGGGTATAATTTAATAAACTAGTTTTAAATTTGATTTTCTACATACTTAGAATTTATTTTTGTAATGTGCCAATCACTAGTGTTTGCTCATATGAATGTTCGTTGCATATTGGGTGGCTTTGATGTACTCGTGATTATATTGACAGAGAAAATATTAGTATCTTTGCCGTATCGGAAACTTGGCTTTATCCTGATTTTGATCCACAGCTTATTTCTATTCCTGGTTACAGCTTAGTTCATGCAGATAGAAATGGTAGAGGGGGTGGATTAGCTTTTTTTATACAAAACAACATTAATTATTTAGTAATCTTGAATGACTTTAAAATAAGTAAACACTTTGGAGCAATTCTGGATTAGTACGACTTTATTGGATAGTTCTTATGTATTTGGTGTTTTATGCCGACCACCGCGTTCTAATATTTTGCATGGCTTAAACTATTTGGAAAATAGTCTTTCGCTTGTAGTACCTGCATACGACTATGTTTGCGTCGCAGGCGACTTTAATATTGACATGCTTATGTTTGGTCGTCCTATAGAGTTGTTCGGTAATATTCTGGAGTGTTTCAATCTAACTCAAGTTGTTAATGAACCAACTAGAGTCACTAGTACGTCACAAACTCTCATTGATATAATTTGCATATCTGATCCAGATAATGTTTCTTCCTGTAAGGTGGTAGATTTGCCGGGGATTTCTGATCACTTTCTTACCGTATGTCAGTTGGCTAAAGTAAAAATTAAACCTATCGATAAGTATGTTACTTATAGAGATTTTAAGCACTTTAATGACCAACAGTTTTATAGTGGCATAGCTGACATAAATTGGGACCATATTTACTCCTTGAATGATGTAGATCTATCTACAGGTTGATTACTTTAATTTTAATGTACTGGCTGTGTTAAACAACCATGCTCCACTTAGAACAGTCAGAGTTACTAAACCTCATTGCCCTTGGTTAACTGTAACTATTAGAGATATGATAAAACTACGTGACATTGCCTTTCGCAGATATAAATAATTGTCCAAGACTCAAAATAACTGGAGTTATTACAAGCAAATTCGCAACTATGTCACTGGTGCAATCAGGCGTGAAAGAAAGCTTATATTCAATTTTCCATGCGTCAAAAAAATAGCAAAGTATTATGGAACACTTTTAGAGTTAACTGTTATTGAAAATAAACGATCATCTGATCTTCCATCTACATTTAATAATGTAAACTCAGTAAATTTATTTTTTAATACTATCCCTATTGTCAATAAAACTCAAGCTTGCATTGATATGTTGTCAAAATATGATCGTCCATTAAATGTAGTGAATGATTTTAAGTTTTCCCCAGTCCAACCCCATGAAATTGTTAAAGTAATTAATAAATTAAAAAGCAATTCTGTTGGCTCAGATCAGATTTCGTTAAGAATAATTAGAATCATTTCATTTCATCTACTACATCATATAACCTATATGTTAAATACTGCAATTGCAACCAACAGTTTCCCTTCTAGTTGGAAGCATGCATATATCATACCTCTAGCCAAAGTCTCTAACCCTACTGAATACTTGCATCTTAGACCCATCAGTATATTACCTACTATATCAAAAATCAATAATGAAAGATCAAATATGTTCTTATGTCTTTAGCAATAAAATAATACCTGCAGTACAGTCCGAATTTCGTGCACAACATAGCACTACGACCACTCTTTTAAATATTACTGATGACATATTTCGTGCCACTGATGCCCAGAAATTAACGTGCCTCATCTTATTAGATTATAGTAAGGCGTTTGACTCTTTGGAGCACGACTTACTCTGTAGAAAGCTAAATTTCTTTGGATTTAATATTAATGCTGTCTCTTTTATACGTAATTATTTAAGTAATCGTGTTCATAGTGTTTCACTTAATTCTGAGATTTCTAGCCCATTACCGCTTAGATTGGGAGTACCTCAAGGCTCCATATTAGGACCCTTGTTATTTTCAATTTATATATCCGACTTTCATACATTTATAAATAGCTGTAATATACATCATTATGCTGATACACAGATTTACCACTCATTTAGTTTTGATCAATACAACGCTGCAGAACAGTTGATTAATTCTGATCTGAATTCACTCCATAATATATCACTGGCCCATAATTTAAAATTGAACGCTAATAAATCTGCTATGATACTTTTTGGGTTCAAGGCAAAAAGAGATATCATTCGTCATAGAATGAATATCAAATTGAATGTGTTGCCTGCAGTCGATAGCTGGAAAAATTTAGGAGTAAAGATCGACTCTGATTTGAGGTTTGTTATGTTAATTATCTGTCCAAATCAAGTTATAATATCTTCAAAAAGCTGTACTCTCAAAGACATATATTGGACTTTAAAATAAAATTGCAACTCTGTGAGACACTCATATTCTCAAAATTGTCATATGCTGATACTGTTTATGATCCTGCACTATTGGAACGCGATGCCAATAGATTACAACTATTACAAAACGCATGTCTTCGATTTGCTAAAGGACTGCATAAATTTGATCACGTGAGCAATAAATTTACTGAAGTTAATTGGATGAAACTCGATAAACTGCGTGCTATTCATGATTTTTGCCTCGTACATAAAATTTTAATCATGCGTACACCTGAATATCTATTCAACAAACTTATACTTCTGTACTCAAATTACACTAACACGAGAAAGAAGCACTTATTACTTATACCTAAACACTCGTCTGCCACTATGAAACGTAGTTTCTCATATATATCCAGTAAGTGTTATAACAACTTGCCTCCACAATTCAAACATTACTCAATTTTTAATTTTAAAAAGAAAATAATAGAATTTGTGTGTCATATGGATAGCTAATTTCAGGAAACGGATTCTACCAGGTTTCGGATTTCACTTGGGTTCATTTATTGTTAGCATTTTGTTGATTAGTAGTATTATTGATGTTTTTTATTAATGTATAATTAGTATTTCTTGATTTGTTCTTTATTATGTAATGTTTTTTGTTTTTATTATGTAATTTTTGTTATAGCTAAAATTATTGTATAAATTTAAATTAATTTAAGGTCAAGTTGAAAAGCAGCCTTTGGCTGATACTTCACCTTTTCATTGTACACTTCACTGGCAATGAATAAAGACCATTTATTATTATTATTAAGGCTAGATTTTATTCGAAGGAACTACCTTAATTTCAAGGAGTTCATGAAATAAATTCATTTTTTAAGCTGCACTTAAACTTTTGTTTAGCTCCCGAACTGGATTGTATGTATACGCTTATCAGTGTTCCTTTTTTAAACAAACTGCATGAAACTAATGGAGTGGCAGAGCGGAACTATAATGGAAAATAATTTCGTAAAAACAGATTGCTTTTGTAATACTGCGATATGTTACTAGTCTCCATATTTTTTTATATCAGTGCATACAAAGCAGCTAACATAAAAGAAGTTTTGGAATGTTTAAAAAAAAAATGCATTCTTTGTACGATGTAAATATTAACTTATATTGGTACGTGGGTAAGCATATTTTGCTAATTGTTAGTAAATCTAGTTTGTTTTAAAAAAATTATTTTTTCTGCTTTATACTAATTTGATATAATTTGAAATATTTTTAAAATCAATTCAAGTTTTTAATAAAGTATTTACTATTTTCTTAAAGCACTGTGACCCTCTGACACCGAACTAGTTTAAGTGAACTACATAACAATCCACCTGATGTGATACGACAACACAGTGCTAGAATGGCAAAAAGCTATTGACCAACATTAACTGAACCAAAAATGAATGGTCCAATGTCATTGCTTGATCTTGTTATATTTATTTTAGTTCAGTTTTTACTACGCAATTTGAAAAAATAGACTTATGTGTTTCTAAAGTCCAAATGTAATCTCCATATAAATATTACTCCCATTCAAAGTTATTCCCTATAAAATAATCATTTTGAAAATGAAAACAAAGCAGTTTTTAAGAGCAAACAAGTGATAGTGAAGGTTTTCCAAAGGAAACCTTATTTAATCAACACAGTAACCATAGAAATTTACCTTAAAGCTGTTCTTGATATCGGTGGGATGATTACAGAAACATGGCAATAAATTCCATAACTGCAAATATAATAACTCTGAACTGTGGGCCCCAATACCATCATTCGATTCGGCCAACTGAACAGATCTCCGATGACAGTAAAGCGCTAATGGCAATATCCCTTTAACGAAATACTCCAATGTAGATATTTTTATATTTTCTTTTAGTACAGGTAAGAGCCAAGATCTATCTATATTCAAGTCTCCATTGTCTTTCTAAAAAGTAAAAGGTAGATAATTTTTATCACAGATCATTTCATTTTTTTACCTTTAGTGAAACAACATTTAACACAATCTCAGGACCCATTGACCGGATTGCAGCTCCTATAGCATGTTCCAATTCGTTGTTGTAACTAAACTTGTAAGAATCCCTAAGTTCCGCAAGAGACTTCAATAAACCCAGCAACATATCACTACAGTTTAAACCGGCAATCTAAAAGGTTTATATTAGATAAAATAAAATTAATTTTGATACTCCATATATTTACCTCAAACATAACTTTGACTATATGTAGAACCTGTTGCCAAACTGTGCTGTATTGGTACCCTAATCCCAATTGGATTGTATTGAAACATTTTTCTAACTTTGATCTATTCTGCTCAACAGTACCAGGAGAACTGCATGCTGTAGCTAATGCATCTTTCAATAAGACATCCATTGCATGTGTTGCACTATTTACAACTTCTGATTTCTCTGACAACCACAACTGTGTGAGGATATCAAAAATCTTGGGAAAAATTGTACATGCCATAGCAATATCAACACTAAAAATAAATTTTTTTTTTTCACATATGAGTAGATTAAACAAAACATTTAATCAACACACATTTTTAAGAGAAAGATTTTTAAATCAATTCGTTAATAAAGAGAGCTGCATCAATACAAATAATACTGGAATTTGGAACTACTTCAAGTATGTATTTTTATATCTAAGATTTGAAGTGTTAGAACTTAACAGAACAAATTATATTTATTTCATTTACATTAACATCAAAGCTAAGCAGAAATATTTTTTGGGATTGAAACAAATGAACATAAGAAAACTAAACAAATAAACTTTTACTACACACTTACTCGGCCAAATGTACATGTGCTTGTTGCATAACTGCTACCCAAGCTAGAGTAGGTTGTACATCACTTGGAGATGGTTGGTATTCATACAAAGCAGATATTAACTGAGCGTTTAATTTTGCAGGCACTACTGCAACTTGTGAAGAAAATAATGTAAATAGTACTTGCAACCCACAAGATGTCACTATAGGGTAATTTAGTGTCATTAAACGTAAAATACTTTCACAACATTTCTACAAAAAATTAATTTTTATATTAACATCAATATATGAGTTATTCCAATTTATAGGTGTACAGGCCACAAACATAGCACGTAAAAAACAAATACAGCTCAAATATTTATTGTTAAATAGTCAAACTCAACTCAATTTTTTCGATACTTATTTTTGAAAAAAAAAAATATAATAGCAATTTTAGTATGTAACATCTAATTACACAACACCACTCAAAATGGCACCATACTAAATCAAATTCCATAAAAATGTATACATTTTTAAGTACTATATATATATTTAAAATGTAATAATTCTTGATACTTTTGTATTTATTTTAATTACTTGTTTATTTAATTTTTAATTATTATTTTATTTTATACAGGTACACAACTTAATATGTTTATCATCGCACAAACAATATTGCACACTAAATTTGTCCATACAAGCAAGTGGTTATTTTCGATTTTGTCCACATGTTCATGTGTGATGATGAACTCAATCTTCTAATGTAATAAGTCTTTTTGGGTTCTGCGGTTTATTATTTCAGGACTATCAAAGCAATTAGAAACCATTCTCAAATCTCGGATATTTTTTGTTGGAATTATATAACTTTCCTTAATAACATATTTCTGTATTGTTACAAAAAGGCAATTTATTCTTGAACGATTTTTATATTTACCGATTTTTTGATCACCCTGTACACACAAGCAAGCAAAAATTTTAATCAAGAATGCCTTTTTCTCGTAAAATGAGAAATAAAAATATTTTCCCTCTTTTCCACTTTAACCATGGACACACTGTAGAATGGGAACTTAATCGAAATGGTAGTTCAATCGAATTGAATTGGTCACTCAGTATGATAATTTGGTCCAATATCACCTATAGGGAGTTTGGCATTTATTATTTTTTATCAGCAAAATTGCAAGTTGAACTCCTAATAAATATTGGCACAATTAACGGCGTTACACCGCCATTTCTACCTTCCGAAACCACCACTGTGAAGTTTGCATTACTATATATTGCTCGTAGATATTGCTTTTAAATGATTACATATTTTTTTCAACATCATACAAATTCAACTTCCTCAAATAAAGTTGTTAACAAAATTATTATTCTGCTCAGCCATCTGTAGGAGGAAATAATTCAGTACCTACTTATTTTATTTATAATTGATTTTTAAATATCTCATTAAAAAAATTTGATGTAAATATTTAATAGTATTGAAATAAGAGCTTTCAAACCATGTGACCATAGTAATTTTGTTTGGAAGAGTAATTTTATTTCCTTAATGTTGGTATTATCATTATCTTGAGCGTAGCAATGGTTTGTCATTATTCATTGTAAACAAATCACTATTTGTGACACCAGATGTAAGGATTTTTTGTTACCAATACCAGTCATGTAATGTTGGATTGCCTAAACTCAGCATCACATGGCCTTGTAAACATTTATGAAGGCTCTGTACTTAAAATATGTAATAGAAAAGTTCAAATTTATCTGCAGTTGAAGCGGAACTTACAATACAAAAACAAAACGCGTGTTACATCAAATTTGGAGAAATTGAGAAGAGAAAATTATGTTAACTGGGCGTAACCAGTGCCCTGTAATTCCCAGCAATGTCGGGATCTTGTGCACAACGATGCCCCAGCCATTTGTTTTGGTTTTTTACAACATATTTAAAAATCTCACATTATAAAAATTGACTTGATGTTTAAATAAAAAAATATCTATGGATATCAACCTTAAAATGGACCTCAACACTGGAAACCGTTATTTTAAAGCGTTTGTTTTGGTTATGTATTAAACAGCCATTTTCAAAAGCATATCTTAATATATTTCAAGCTCGTTAATTTACAAAACAGTGAAACAGAATTTTCCTTAAAATACTGAAATTACAGTATATGCTCTTACTATATTGATAACCTGTACTCCTAGAAATTTTGATACTCTATAGGTACTTTATTAATGAAATTAGCAACACACCTTGATATGATTTTTAGAAAATCTGCAAATTGTTTCCTGCATCAACCCAAGTGTATGTAAAATAGTTGTTTGACCTGCTTGAACTGACGAAATAAGTACAATGCCCGAACTTCCTCCCTTACTTCTATCCAAAGTTTCCTCACAAAACTCAGCAACTTTATCTGCTGCGGGATTAGAAGCATTTTCTTGTGCAAAACAATCTGCGTTGATAACGACAGCAACAGCTTGTTGTGCAGCTTTTCTCCACTAAAAAAACTATCAATGAATAAGTTAATAATAATAATAATAACTCAGATCAACCTTTGGTTTTGAATGCACACAGAATGGGTTTAAAATTGAAGTAAATATTTGAACAGTTGAAGTATGATTCCACATAGCTAATTCTTGAGTCTTTAATAAAACTGATAAAATGCCAAATACAGATTTAATAATTGTGTTGTTCTCAGAATTCGCAAAATCACTTAAAATGTGTAACATTTTCCTTGTTACATCATTAAAATGGGACCTTAACACAGGTGTAGGTACAGTTTTAATGCCCATATTTAAAAGAGACAAAACTGCTGTTATTTGGTCTTCATTTTTTTCATCAGCATTATACACTTGCTCTAATGTTGTGACCTAAAACGATTGGAAATTAATTTGGTTGTGACCTCAATTTTGCAAAAATAATTACCAAAGCACAATAATATTCAGTAGGAGATTCAGATCCATCATTTTGTTTAATAACTTCTGTAATTGCTGCTAAAATTGCTAACATTTCTTTATGTAACACCGAGTCAGAGCGAAAAACCTTTAAGAATCTACTAAAAGAAATATTACTACAATCTGACCATTCCGATGCAAAAGACTGCATAGATTGATATGAAGATTGTGGTCCAACAGAAGATTCAATATCTTCTTCCATTTCAACAGTTTCTGTTCTGGGTTGCACATAAGTTTGTATGGAGTCATGTTTTCGTAAAGCATCTGATGTTAATTCACTAGGTCCTAACAAATAAGCCTTAACATTATTTTAAAAAATCTAAAATATAATCGAAACTAACCTAAGTTTTCCTGAAAAAATCTAGACTTCGCCAAATCTCTATGTTTACGGGTTTCAGGATTTGAACTGGAACTTTGTCCTTTAGGCCATCGCTTCCCCTTTGTCTGCCCTTTCAATTTACTTCTAAACTTCCCCATTTCGGTAATTTTTTTAACACATGTGCTTCTCTTCTAATTTTTTTGATATCCAGTCATTCCAGTTAGTGATGGGAGATTTCGAGTGAAAAATCGAGAGGTACTCGATTATTGAGATCACTCGAGATATCTCGAGATGTTTACTCCCACCACTCGAGTGATTATTACCCCACGGTTGCACCTCAAAATGTTAGTGCATACTGCAAATAGTCACTGATTGCGTAACCTTTTTTTTAGAATAAAACGAAAAAGTGGTTAGGTTTTGAAGTGCGAGAGCTTTTTTTTTTTTTTAGCTACGCTTATAAGTAATATATGACTAATACAAACATATTCGTGCGCAGCTGGGATGAAAACGACCAATATCTCGTGTCTCGAGTGATCACTCGTTTATTAGAAGTACTCGATTACCGATAACTCGATTATCAAAATTGGTCGATTATGCCCATCACTAATTCGTCATCCAGTCAAGGGCATTCACTCCGCGCCATTATTCTGTGGCTAGAAATTGGCCTCAATGATTTGGGATCGAGGGGGATTATCCCTCTTTATCCTGCCTCATCTCGTGTAGGCCTGGACAGCCTTCGTAGGTGGGCCNATTGATGTATATTGTTACTGAGAAAATAAAGATTGTTGTAACTAGTATTACTTTTTTTTCGACAGTAAGTGCCGTTATGGAGGAAAACGAACATGGTTCTATTTATTTAAAAAAGAAAGTCATTAATATTATTTTAAAATCAAATTAGGTGTGAAATCGGTAAGTATATATAAATTAGACAAATATTAAAATGTATCACAATTTTTAACACACACGCCACTGGTTAAGAGTTCCCTAGTAAACAAAGAACTACCTTCATCCTTGTTTAATAGTAGGATGTCTCAAGTTGTGGAAAATCAAAACAATTCCTTTGCAATGCATAGGGAATTACTTGTCTAGTTATTCTGAGGTCTTTGGTGCTTTCTCTTTCAGTCACCTACACCTTCGCCGAAACGCACTTCCTAATGTAATATATGCTCTAATATTCGAGTGATAATTAACTAGCGTGATACAACTTTACACAATTTCTTTCTTTCGGGCCTTTCGATTTGGCAAAAATAGTAGCTAAAAGTAGCTAATCCTAACTTAGAGTTACTCTGAACTGACATTAGTTGGTAATAGGTACTACATATTATAGGCCAAAACGAAGGCCCCCTGGTTCGTATTCATAAACAAATATCTTCAAAACCGGTGTCATGGATGGAATAGGAATTGTTTCGTGTACCACCTAATTCTTATTCCAGTCATTCCCAGAAGACGTTCATGTCGAAATAGTCCTCAGATGGGGGTATTTTGTAGAATAGATAATCGTAGGCCCAACGCCCAACATCGTAGGAATCGAAACCTTCGAATTAGTGATGGGAGATTTCGAGTGAAAAATCGAGTGGTACTCGATTATTGAGATCACTCGAGATATCTCGAGATGTTTACTCCCACCACTCGAGTGATTATTACCCTACGGTTGCACCTCAAAATGTTAGTGCATACTGCAAATAGTCACTGATTGCGTAACCTTTTTTTTAGAATAAAACGAAAAAGTGGTTGGGTTTTGAAGTGCGTGAGCTTTTTTTTTTTTTTAGCTACGCTTATAAGTAATATATGACTAATACAAACATATTCGTGCGCCGCTGGGATGAAAACGACCAATATCTCGTATCTCGAGTGATCACTCGATTATTAGAAGTACTCGATTACCGATAACTCGATTAACAAAATTGGTCGATTATGCCCATCACTACTTCGAATCTTCGAATCTTTCCTTTGGAACTTGGAACGATTTGTTCGGGAACGTTAGAGCATATACTATATGGAGGAAGCACTCTTACGGTGACAATGTAGACTAGTGGCAGAGAGAGAAAGATTAACTTCTAGTACTCTCTTTTTCTCCCGCACAGGCACATGATTGGCTAACACAACTGCTCCACAACGACTAGAGAGAGAAAACGAGTACTTAAACTATTGGTGTCTGTCTCTTCCAGATCTACCTTTTGTAACACACGGTGCTTGCTCTAATTCATAGTTCTATGTTTTATTCTGAATGCATAGAAATTAGAAATAAAAGAAAAGTAGCAAGTAGTTCAAAGATGACGTATCGGTATTTTTGAACGCGACCACTAATCACTTAAAAAAGTTAGGTTACACTTAAAAGTTAAAAACTATTTCCCGCCAAATGTCAAGTTTTGTTCGTGTGTAATTTTATTGCCGATTTTATTCTTTCTTGTTTAATAGTATTTCATTATATTTAAAATTTAAGTTAAAATGTCTGAAAGGGTAAGTTTATTGTTTTAAATATATTGTGGAAACAATTACTACTCAATTTAAAATCAAAATTATTATAGCCTGAAGAAGATTCCCCTCTGCCAACTCCTAGGTCTAATATGTCCTCACCAGCTCAGGATTTAGAGCCCTTTGAAGATGAAGGAGCACTTTTAGGAGATGTAGATCAAGATATGGAAGAGGAAGATGGCGAGGAATTATTTGGGGATAATATGGAAAAGTGAGACTAATTGTTTGGCCTTTTTAACTTTTTAATTTCTATAGTAGATTAAGTAATAATATGATACGTTTCCTTTTTACAGTGACTACCGTCCTATGCCTCACTTGGATCGATACGATGACCGTATTGTGGACGATGACGAATATGATCAAATGTCCGTTGGAGATCGTTTAGCCGCTGAAGAAGAACTGAGACGGCGAGACAGAGAGATGGGCATCCTTAGGAGAGATGATAGAGAATTATTTTATGACCAAAGTGATGATGAAGAAGATCCACGACGTAAGAGACGCATAGCTGAAAAAGCTGCTGTTGGAGAAGTCGAAGATACGGAAATGATTGAATCCATTGAAAATCTCGAGGATACCAAAGGGTATACTATTAAAGAGTGGGTGATAATGATGGGGCCTAGAACGGAAATAGCTAACAGATTTAAAAACTTTTTACGTACTTATGTTAATAGCAAGGGACAGTACGTTTATAAAGAGAAAATTAGGAGAATGTGTGAAAATAATCAGGTAATGTACCTTTAAATTAATTCTTATGTTTGACGTGGTCAGTTGATTAATTGTTTATTTTTCAGTCTAGTTTTACTATAGAATTTCCAAACCTTGCAAAAAAAGAACATGTTTTGGCTTATTTTCTGCCTGAAGCACCTTTCCAAATGTTGGAAATATTTGATGAAGTGGCTAAAGACATAGTGCTCTCCATGTATCCAAGTTATGATAGAGTTACTAACGAAATTCATGTAAGGATATCTGATTTACCTCTTATAGAGGAACTTCGTACATTCAGGTATGATACCACTTTTTCTATATCAGTTGTATTTAAAATAACATAATTCAAATTTAATTTCGGTCAGCACTATTAATTATTTTATAGGAATTTACATGTGAATCAACTGGTAAGAACTCTTGGGGTTGTAACTGCCACAACTGGAGTATTGCCACAATTATCTATTGTTAAGTTTGATTGTAATAAGTGTGGGTGTATATTGGGACCTTTTATGCAAAGCCAGGAATCAGAAATCCAACCTGGCGCTTGCCCAGAGTGTCAAAGCCATGGACCATTTATGGTAGAGAAATTGCTTCTTTTAATTTTATTTAATTTTATTATCAACCCTATTTTATTTCAGATAAATATGGAGCAAACTCTTTACAGAAATTACCAGAAAATCACCCTCCAAGAATCTCCTGGTCGCATACCAGCCGGCAGAGTGCCCCGTTCCAAAGATTGCATTTTACTGGCTGATCTGTGTGACCGTTGCAAACCTGGAGACGAAGTGGACGTTACAGGGATTTACACAAATAGTTACGACGGTTCCCTCAATACCGACAATGGCTTCCCAGTTTTCTCCACGGCCATCTTTGCAAATCATCTCCTTGTAAAGGATTGTAAACAAATAGTGCAGTCTCTTACAGATGACGATATAAATGCTATTATCAAAATGAGCAAGGATCACAGAATAGCGGACAGGGTTATCGCCTCGATAGCGCCGTCTATTTATGGGCATGATTTTATCAAAAGAGCATTGGCTTTGGCATTGTTCGGAGGAGAACCAAAAAATCCAGGTAAGACAGTAAATTTTAAGCCTTAAGTTTTCTTAAAAATGCATCTTTCATGTTTATTTAAAAAAAATCTCTTAAACAATATGTCGTATGTTGTTTGTTTAAATTATTATTTTCTAATTAGTCTAAAAAAAATTTGTGAAGTCAGAATACTGAAAAATCTATATCTAAATATTATAATTATATATTCAAAAATGCACTAACGATCTCATTTACATGAATATTTAATTCACTACAACGTATAGTATAAGCAAGTGATGCGATTGAAACCAATTTGTATTTCGCTTCACTTCGTAACATTTACAGCGGTTGTCATGGCAGCGAGGCGGCCAAATTGAAGCAGCATTGTCATCGCCCATCGCCTGCCTTTAAACAGTTTATACGATACATCGCCCAGTGCACGATTATAACGGTTCTTTGTTAATATTTGTTTTGTATCAATAATTATAGAAATGTTTCCTATGTATGATCCAGTATGTAATTTATTGGAAACGACATTTTCCATATGGAAAATTGAGGATAAAAGGGATTTTTTAAATTGGGAGAAACATGTGCTTTCTCTCGATATGGAAAAAAGGGAGAAGACAAAAGACAAAGTGTACATTCAGAAGTTAAGGAATGAATGGTATTTGGAGTATAAGTGGTTGTGTGGAAGTGTTTATTTAAAAAACTTTTCTGTATGCCATGTTTAATTGTGGGTGTAAAGTCGAGCGTGTGGAATAAGGAGGTATTTAACAGTTTTGGGTACATCACGCGAGGCTGTCGTAACCACGAAGCTTCTTTGGGACATATACGGTGTGCGTTAATGTTCGCAGAAGTCCACAAGCCGACCTAATATTTCTATTTTTTTCAGTTTTTCGGTAATATTGCAAATGCAACTAAAAATTTCTAGATTCATTTAAAACTGTTTGATCTCAATGTCACAAACCACCACTGATTCACTGTTGCTTAATATCTACTAGACTATTATCAATGTTTAAAATGTTTGTTTTATTTTTTTTTATCCATTTAACAGCACTGTTCAATTTTCAGATCATTACTTTACCATAGTAGCTGATTCAATTTCTTTTATAACACCATATATTTTTTTGCGATTTTGAATAAAAAAATATTTTAATTATATGGCAATGTAAACTTTGTTTTGCAATAACAGAATAAAAAAACTTTGATTAAAAAAATTTGTATAAGTTATGGCAATAAAATAAACTGTTTAAAATTATTTCCTACCCATATAAACCAATATAACAAAATTCTTTCCAGTAAAATAATAAATATATAAGGAATTTTTCTTTTAACCACATATTGGATGTATTGTATTTTTTACATCCTATAAAAATATGAGGTTTGATCAAAAAGTAATGGGAATTGCTAATGTTCTCAAAAATGATTTATTTAATCTTCAATTTTTATCACATGATATTATACACTTATGTCAACGTAGATTCCAGTTTGAGAAACACTGGTTGAATGCCTCTTTAGGTATCGTCTTGAGTACGGTTTGCGATTTTGCCTTTATCTCATCTATTGTTGAAAAACGTCCATTTAGTCCCCTTTTGAGTTTGGAAAATAGGGAAAAGTCAAAGGAGTAATGTCTGGAGAATAGGGTGGTTGTGGCATCACAACGGTTTCGCCAAGTACTGTTGGATAAGCGTTGTCGTGGTGCAAAATCGACGAGCTGTTTCCTGTGTTTTTATCTTTTTCTCCTGATAGCCTCACGCAAATTTCACAAAACTCGTAGGTGTTACTCCTTGTTACCGGTACAACCGAGCAGTAAAATTTCATCATGAACTATTCCATTGTAGTTGAAGAAAATGGTAAGAAGGACCTTCACGTTTAACCAGATGTCGCCTCTTCTTCGATGTCTTCTTGGCCTTCCTGAAAATATTTGTACCATTGATATACTCGTGGCTGTGACATAGTATTATCGCTAAAGGACTTCTTTAACATTCTGAACACTTTTTAGAAATAAATAGTAGTTCAGAAGACATCAGCTATATCCGCATTTTGTATTCACCCTGTATATTTCAGAATACATATTTGAGTGCAGTATTTATTATATACTAGCAACCCGTAGCCTATGTTACTCCGAGGAGATGTAGCTTTCGGTAAAATTGGTTGAGTAGTTTTTGAGTTAAATCGTAACAAACAAAAAATCAATAATCTTTCATCTAATGCAACCCTAATATTAATTTTAAAATAATTCACGATATATCTATATACCTAAAGACAACAAACGAACTCAAAACTAAAAATGCAAAACCTTTAAATTTAAAACAATGTGAAAACAAAACGAATTAAATTAAAGTACCTATGTTGAGGACTATCAATTTTAATTAATAAGTAAGTAGTTAGGTATCTAACTACCTAAAGAAAACAATCACGAAACAAAAATTCGTTTATGAAGTTTTAAATGATTCACAATAAGAAAAAAACAAACAAATTATTAAAACTCAATGAAATAAAAGTATGTTTACAAGTATCTATGTATGTTCCGACTACCTAAAGACAACAAATACAAAACAAAAATGTGACCTTAAAATATGGAAGCAATTATAACTTTCCAACAACATCTAGAAAGAAAACACAGTCGTCAGTAGTCACCTCCATTCGCTCCAAGTCAGTTTATTAAAGGATCACGCGCGTATTATCGCTCGGCTTATTAGCTAAACAGTAGGCAAGACGGTGCGGGGGAGGGTCATCGATCGCATCAAGCGAAGCGAGGCGCTTGAATTTTATGCAAGCGTCCGTAATTTTTTTTGCGATTACTCCTAAGATATTCATTTAAATTATATGATGTGCATGAAATGCTTAAAGCCTCTAACTTATTTAAAATGATAAGGATTAATACTGTATTTGTGTAAATAGCTTTTACATTACCGCTTTATAATTGCCAATTTTTTAAAGTATTAAAATGGATATAGGTAGTATGTTATCTTTAACATATAGACATATGCCATCGCGGACTTTTCTATAGGCATATATAAGATACACAATTCCACCATACATTGATACACTACATAAACTTTCGGACCCCCCCGGCTCGGGGGGGTCCGAATTAATTTCGTTGCGCATTATTTTGATTTTGCTATATCTCCTAAGGTATTCATTTAATTTGCATGGTGTAAAGTGAAAAAATAATCTTCATGAAATGCTCAAGCCAACTGACGTATTTAAAATGATAAGGATTAATACTGTATTTGTGTAAATAGCTTTCCAATTACCGCTTTATAATTGCCCATTTTTTAAAGTATTAAAGTGGATATAGTATATTAGGCTTAAGAGATAGACATATGCCATCGCGGACTTTTCTGTAGACCTATATAAGATACACAATTCCACCATACACTATTTTGATATATCTCAAAGGGTTTAGGCAGCGTTTTCGTTGAAAGCTCCCAGACGGCTTATTTTTTTCCGACGCCTCCAACAAATATCGTTAATGTATACAAAAACTTAACAAATTATATACTAAAACCTTCCTCGAGAACCACTCTATCCATTGGTGAAAACAGCATGAAAATCGGTGCAGTAGTTTTTGAGTTTATCGCGAACAGACAGACAGACGCGGCGGAGGACTTTGTTATAATATGTATTGATTATTTTAAAAAAGAAAATGTGCAGCATATAAGAAGAATTTTGATATTTTTGATTAAAAAAAAATCCTTACAACTAAGGAAGAAATCCTTGGTCCAGTTTGGTTAAGCTTGGATTATACATAAGGGCAATAGATTTCTGATTGGCATAATTTCATGTTCATTATTCTGGCTATATTATGAATTGTAATGAGAAAACTATCCGTTGACTAGTAATTAAAGAGCAAGTTTATTTTAGGTCAGAAACATAAACTAAGAGGTGATATAAATGTCCTAATCTGCGGAGATCCCGGTACAGCAAAATCGCAGTTTCTGAAATTTGTTGAGAAAATTGCACCCAGGGCGGTATTCACCACTGGACAGGGGGCCAGTGCTGTAGGTTTAACAGCGTACGTTAGGAGAAACCCTACCACCCGAGAATGGACGTTGGAAGCAGGCGCCTTAGTTCTGGCAGATCAGGGTGTCTGTTTAATAGACGAATTTGATAAGGTAGGAGTGTGATTACCACCAGTTTTAAAAATTATGTTAATTTACCGAGTTTATCATAGATGAACGATCAAGACAGGACTTCAATTCACGAGGCGATGGAGCAACAATCTATCTCGATTTCAAAAGCTGGTATTGTGACGAGTCTACAAGCACGTTGCTCAGTGATCGCAGCTGCCAATCCCATTGGTGGTCGTTACGATGCTAGCATGACGTTTGCGGAAAACGTGAATCTGTCCGATCCTATTTTATCGAGATTTGATATTCTCTGTGTTGTGAGGGATGAAGTGGATCCCATCCAAGACCAGCATCTTGCCAGGTGAGATTTTTTTTTTTATGAAGGGAAATGAGTATAATAATATTCAAGGATGTTTTTAATCATGTCTTTTAAATGTTGTTATTCATAAATTGTTACACAGTGTAACTGATGCAAATCTGGAAATGGAAAAAATTTCCTTTAATCTATGGTTATAGAAATAATTAGGGGATTTTGAAAACATTAATTTTTGTGTGATTGGTGAGCGTTTGAAGTAAAAATTTCAATTTTTGTCAAAAAAAAAGAGGCAATCATTTGTCAATGAATAATGTTAAAATCAATTTATCGAAAATCCCATACATACTTCTCTTCCGAATGTTATTTTAAAGATATGGTCAAAATTTGGGAGTGAATAGAATAAAAATTGTTGGAATTATGTTTCGTATTGTTTTAAAAAATCGTGTTTCGAGAATAATCCGAGCTTTGGAAAACCACGGCTCAAATAACTGAGGTTTTGCACGTCTTTTAATTTTTAAGAAAATATCAGTGGATGTGTTGACTCAGTTTTAATGAAAATTTGTGGTAGGTTTGTTGTCGGTTCACATATCCGCCACCACCCTTCCAAAAAGGATGCCGATGTGCCGGAAGTAGTAGAAAACGACTTGCAAATTCCTCAGGAAATGTTGAAGAAATATTTGGTTTATGCCAGGGAGAATATTCATCCCAAATTACAGAACATAAATCAGGATAAAGTAGCTAATATTTACAGTATGTTGAGGCAGGAATCTCTGGTGAGTAAAAAATTGCATTAGTAGAAAGAAATTGGTACCTATCGAATTAGATTTAATTTGTTATGTGTCCAAGTGTCATTACAAGTACATGTACGATGAAAGACTACAGATTCTAGACTAATTCATATATATCTGAAATTAATTCGTTTGGCCACTGGATGGGGTTAAATTCCCTGAAAATTTTTGATTTTCTAAATAACTCTAATAAGTATTAACCGATTTTAATAATTTTTTGGGTGTAGGTGTGGTGCATTTGCTTTCTGTTGACATATTTTGGTGTTATACAGACAAGGTTCGTAGAGGCCTAGAAAACCGAGAATATCGGGAAAAGTCAGGGAATTTGTTATTCTTCATAGAAAACAGGGAATAGTCAGGCAATTTTAAAGGTAATCATGAAAGTCAGGGAATTTGATGTTTGCAACTGGAAATTTTGTGAAAGCTAGCCGTGGATTCTTGAAAGAGAAAATTATTGTGGTTTTGAAACTTTTTATAAGAGGTTCTTTGGGTTAAAAAAAAGATTGTGAAGTCCAGTCTAAAAAAAGTTGCATAAACAGCAATTAGTATGTAAAAATGAGTGACATGGATTTTTTTCTATAAGTCGGGGAAAACCTGGAAGAGTTCGGGAATTCTATAATACTTTGTACCTTGACAGAGTGATTCTTTAAATTTACAACTGTTAGAAATTTGATGTATGGAAGTGGAAATATCTATCCATAAACATTTTTTGGTTCATTTTTCAACGGTATGTGATGTTTGGAAGTTTTTTGTCTAACAAGTGAATTGTTTAGGTATGAAAAAATATTTTTTTATGAGAATTTATTATGATAAAATTTATCAAATTTTATTTAATTTTTCAACCAGATTAAATGGGGAAAACTAATTTTTTTAATAATGCAGAAACTATGGAACGACTCCACGTAAACATTTAATGAAGAGCAAATTTTTGTATATAAGAAAATGGGGGCTATTTAGAGAATCTTTTATAGTTTATCTGTAGTTACTAACATGTTTTCAAGTTTTCACAAACTTACTCCTGCTTTAAAAGTATGATTGATGGAAATTGTAACTAATACTTTTTAGAACAGACTCAGTTTTAGCATATTCCATTCAATTTCTTGATTTTGCAAAGGTGTAATGCTTGAGAAGAGACTGATATAAAGTCAGATTCCTACTAGCAACATAGCTAGCTGATGTACACCCACTTCGCTGAGTTAATGTATTTGTATTTCTGTACAGTTTCCTTGTCATAAGGAAAAAGGATAGCATGATACATCTTCATTGTCTTTCCAACGCCTTATATCCAAATCTCCCTCTAAGCTGCGCGGATGCGCGGCCACCCTCTAATTTTTCGAATGTTGCACAGCTATTTTTGTATTCTGCGCACAATGTGCTTGTTCACCATTTTGTTAAATTTCATTTTATAAAAGGATTGCATCTAAAAAAAAACATACCCTCCTTACCCCTCCCCTCCCGCGCTAGCCTAAGGGCCTCCTTAGCAAAGCGCATGCCAGGCTGCATAGCCGCACTACCCTACCCAACCATACCACACATAAACATAAACAGACGAGCCGGCGAAGCATGAAGAGCGCCAGAAGAAAGGGCCCTAGCCGGCGGGGCCCAGCCAGGACAAAAGGAGGTCCCACAAAGCGCCTACACCGGCCGCATTTGCGGTCGGGCTAGACGACGGATGGGGCCCACATACGAAGGCTGTCCAGGCCTACACGAGATGAGGCAGGATAAAGAGGGATAATCCCCCTCGATCCCAAATCATTGAGGCCAATTTCTAGCCATGAAATAATGGCATCTAAAAATGGCAAAAATCCAAATTTCACAAAAAAAAATTAACGATAATGTAAAGATCCCTTCTCGTTTGTGTGTTATTAAAATGTAGGTAATTTTCAAGAGTATTTATTAAAAAAAAATTTTGACTTCAAACAAAGACACAGGGACCCCCATCCCCCAATTTTATATACGTACATTTCTGCTCCCATTTACTTTTGTACCGCACAGCCAGCGAAAAAATTAGAGGGAACATTACTTATATCTCATTCTGACATATTGCTATTTCTCTCTCATATCGTTTTCCCTCCAAAATGTCATTCTTTTTTCCTACAAAACTGTTCTTACTCTATTAAACATCTTCTATCTCTGTTCTGTAAATGTTTTGTTTTAAAAAATTAAGTTTAACTGTTCGAATAAAAGTGTGAATTAGGTCGCCTACCTACTCACTTAAAATATAATTTTTATTTTATCTTGTTTTTCTTGCGCGTTTTTTTACTGGTGACACGGACAACGCCGATTTTCGGCTCCGGATAATTCATCCGCAAAAGTATACCGAATGATAGTGCGCGCTTTCCACTCTACAAATAATAATTATTTTTATATACACACTTAATTAACTATATTATCGCCACGGTAGCGCAGTCGGTCGAGAGTGGGGTGGCAAGCATTTCTCGGTCAGGCTTCCTATATCTGGTCCGGGTTTGATCCCCGGTGTCGGCACTGGCAATGTCGATGGATAATGGGTGTTTGTCCGCGTTTTTTCAAGTGTAGCCCCCTTCTGCACAGCCTTTGGCTTTGGATTTGGGAGTTGTCTCATTTCTGTGATGTGTTTTATGTTTTTTTATATGTGCATAGACTTATCCAAGAGACACCTGATCGTTCTCTATCTTTAAGAAATCCATCAAAGCACGGACTGCGGGATCTTTGTAAGTCTGTGTCACCTTCGCTTTTCATTTTAATTTATTTTATTTTTTTGTTTTCTCAAAACTCTAACATTGAGATTATTTACTCCAAAGAGTTGGAAAATTCTCATACAATTTATTTCTAATATCTTCTATCTCAGTCTAACATCGTAATTCCTCTTTACATCATTCTTTTGTTCTATGTAACAGTTGTTTCTCTGTGGGCCCTTTTTGCCTACCCGGCCGTCCCATCACCTAACCACTCTCTGCCTCTGACCCTCTTCGAACCTACCCGATGCCCTGATGAACGCCAGGATTTTGGTCCATGGAAGGTCTCTCACCTCAACCCCTTGCAGATCTTCAGCACCAAAGACTTTGTCTTATTCTCCCAAAGGCTGCACACTGTCCCAGAAGGTGGACAGGGGTGTCCTCCCCTTCGCCACATTTCGGGCATAGAGGGTGCTCCTCTTACTTAAACTGTTAGTAAAAATTGTACAACAGACCAAAAAACTTTAAAAATATTTGTCATTATTTAATGAATGGAAAAAATGTTTATGTACATATATGAATATTTTCACCCAATATCAATTTTGTAACAGTTGTAAGTTTTAAAAATCACTCTGTATGACACCGATATGTGTCAATTGAAAGCAAGAACCCATACTCCAAAAAGAATAAAAATTCCAAAATTTTTCAGCGACTTTGTTATTAACAGCCTTAGGAAGTGATTTCATATAATTTTGAATTATTATTGTCTGAGTCGGTCTATTTGCATCCAGGAACATGTCTTCCGTTATACACATACTTACGGGACACCCTGTATATTTATATTTCGTAGGCCACCGGCAGTCTTCCTATAACGGTCCGTTACATCGAGAGCATAATCCGCATGAGCGAGGCTCATGCAAGAATGCATTTAAGGGAGTACGTTCAAGAAGACGACTTGAACATGGCTATAAGAATGATGCTGGAGAGCTTCGTGGAGACCCAGAAATATAGCGTCATGAAGACGATGAAGCAGGTGTTCCGACAATATCTCACATTCAAAAAGGACCACAGTGAGCTCCTGTTATATATCTTGAGGCAGTTAGCTCAAGATCAACTGTCGTTCCAGAGAAGTACCTCAGAAATGGAAGCACTCACTATAGAGATCGACGAGAAGGATCTTCTCGATAAGGTAAGTCTGTTCGCATATAAGCATTCTATCATAAAAGTATCTGGAATTTGTCATTTAAAAATTTTGCATAAAGTAGATTTAAATTTCTTGTTTGATGCAAGGTTGATAGCACTGTACTCTACTCTGACGCGAATATTTTATGTTCACTTTTATCGAAATCTCAAGCACACGAATAGTACAAAGCATTCAAATATGGTCAAAGATGATTGTCTGGTGTGGAGTCGCTCGCAGGTATAAGTATCTGGTCCGTGGCGCCAATCTGCCATGGTCCTCTTCCGGGAATCATATCTCTCGTTGCACATTGTTTCTTGTCAGTAGTAACTGGTAAACCGGTCCGGCATCAGGCTGGCACTCTTGACGTAATACTTAAAATGGGTCACTTGCAGACATGTGTACCCACACACCACCCTGCAAGTATTTTTATTCAAAACAACGTTAGTGAAAAAGAAGTGTTGTCGGGGCGAGCGTTCGCTGGAGAGTCGTCTGGTGTGGAGTCACTCACAGGTATAAGTATCTGGTCCTTGGCGCCAATCTGCTGTGGTCCTCTTCCGGGAACCATATTCTGTGTTGCATGTTGTTTCTTGTCGCTTGCAACGGGTAAACCGGTCCGGGCGGCGTCAGGAGGGCGCTCTTGATGTAATACTTAAAATGGGTCACTTGCAGACATGGGTACCCACACACCCTCCTACAAATATTTTTATTGAAAACAACGTTAGTAAAAACAAGTGTTGTCGGGACTAGCGTTCGCTGGAGAGTTGTCTGGTGTGGAGACGCTCGCAGGTATAAGTATCTTTTCCTTGGTGCCAATCTGCCGTGGTCCTCTTCCAGGAACCATATCCCTTGTTGCACATTGTTTCTTGTCGCTTGCAACGGGTAAATCGGTCCGTGCGGCGTCAGGCTGGCGCTCTTGGTGTAATACTTAAAATGGGTCACTTGCAGACATGTGTACGCACACATCCCCCTGCAAATATTTTTTTATTGAAAACAACGTTAGTGAAAAAGAAGTGTTGTCGGGGCAAGCATTCGCTGGAGACTCGTCTGGTGTGGAGTCGCTCGCAGGTATAAGTATCTGGTCCTTGGCGCCAATCTGCCGTGGTCCTCTTCCGGGAACCATATCCCTCGTTGCACATTGTTTCTTGTTGCTTGCAACGGGGTAGACCGGTCCGGGCAGTGTCAAGCTGGCGCTTTTTACGTAATACTTAAAATAGGTCACTTGCAGACATGTGTACCCACAAATATATTATTATTGACAAATTCTGGATACTTTTTGGATAGAATGTACTTTTATGAAATTTATTTTGACGTTTTCCAGGCCAAGCAAATCGATATTCACGACCTTAAGCCGTTCTACCAAAGCAAAATATTTGAGTCGAATGACTTTGTTTATGATGCTAGGAGAAAAGTCATAGTACACACAGTACCGGAAACAATTTCTACAGAAGATTAAAAAGTACATTATTTTTTAAGCATATCTTATAGATTATTTTTTTTATTTATTAAATATAGTTTTTCATTATACTGTTTTTCATTTTATTAAACGAAATTATATCTAATTATTACTGTTTTGGAAAAGGCAGAATTTTTAACTAATTTAGTAAAAACAGTTTGATTCTAAATTTATGTCATACATACCTTATGTCATACATGTCTTTTATGGTACTTCCAGTTTGAGTTCTTTGAAAATATATGGGGTGTTTCTGAAACAGTTTTGTAAAAATTGTAAAATTTAAACCCATTCAAATTTAACATTTGTCAATTTTGGACCACTGAGTGTTAATACAAATTATTAAGAGAGCCCATAGCAAATAGGCAACCAACAATACATTTTTATAGATTTTATTACACATTTTGTCTAAATATGAATAATAATATTTCTACCCCTCATTCTAACCACGAGAATTAGCCCAGAAGTCGGAGACTTGTGCGGGAGAGGAGGCGGCATATTATTATTCAGCAGGCCGCATTTGCGCCCAGGAACGACTTATGTTGGTAGGCCCTAACCACCATTCAGTGAAGGAATGAGGGAAACCTGGAAAACCTCATTAATTAGGGGGGTGGTCAAATGCCAACCGGTGTCAATCTCTCACATTGACCCAAACCAACATTCTTTCACGCTACCATACCTGCACAGAGGGTGCTAATCCTCCGTACAAGCATAGCTCATCTACGGTCTACTGGCCGTGGGAATCTATCCCGGGCAGAATTAGCACACATCGATTTTAGTACTGACGCCTTAAACCGTGTGGCTATCGACCGACCCACACACAAATAATGCACAAATAACAGACTTTCCTCCATTCTAACGCAAATTTTCTATAATGGACTTAGTTTGAAATTCAAATTACTTTTTGGTGTAAGGTAATTTCTAATTTACGATATTGCTTGTTTAAAAGCGGCAAATTACAAATTTCTTTACAACAAAAAGTAATTTGAGTTTCAAACTAACTCCATTTTATAAAAAAACTGTGTCTTTCCCCTTTCCCTTTCCCTGCTCCAGACGAGATTATTCGCTAAAAATTTATAGGACTCAAACTGCTCCTGACGAATTAATTCGCTTGAATAGTTAAATTGGATCAGGCTGCTCAAACCGAATATATATTCGTGACCATGCGCATTAGTGAGTTGATTGTTGCAATTGGTACTGGAAATTTTTGCGGGCGGAACTTATAGCGATTGTGGCAATGATTTTTATGGAAGGAGGTACTAGTAATAATGCCAAGATTGTTCATCTCTTTTTAAGTTTCTATTTAGTACGGCTGTCGATATATTGTATTTTATTTAAAGTAAAATCATAAAAATATCTAGAAAAGACGGACGGACAAAGAACTGGAAGAAATTTTAGCGAGGAGCGATAGCGGCGACGAGTTTGAGATTGAGGAGTGTAGTGATGGATGCTTTATAATAAAATATTAATAACTATACTATTACAATTATTTTAAAACCTTTAAATATATTTTAATCTAATTTAACACAACATAATGTAAAAACAAAGTCTAACTGCGGCAGACGAATATACTCGCATGCGGTAAACTTTCGCGCACGGCGCGGTAGCTACGTTCAGACGTATTGTGCAGCGAAAGGGTTAAAATGGGGGAAAATCTGTTATTTGTGCATTAATTCATATTTAGACAAACTGTGTAATAAAATCTATAAAAATGTATTGTTGGTTGCCTATTTGCTATACAGGTGTAAACAAAAAAAAATTAAATAATAAATTATATAATATCGCCCTAATGTATAAAATGTTATCACCGCCCTCTTTGGCCCTATTTTTGTGGTTAATTATGAACATACTGTAAGTTTGCAACTGAATATTGGCAATAAAATAATAATACAATTTTTAACATAGCTCTAATGTCAAAAATGTTGCCGTCTTTGAGGGTAAAAACAGAATCTAAATATGATTGCTCTATTTTCATGGCTAACGACGCAGACACTGCAAGTGATTGTTGTATTTTAGCTAGCTATGAATATACTATAAATTCGCAACGGGAAAGGATACGTTAGTAAAAATAGGATATTTACTAGTTTTGCAACCGAGAGAGGTGCATTAAGAAAAACGATATGAAATTACTAATACAATAAATAACGTTACCCAAATGTAAAAAATTCTGTGTGACTGCAATCTTCCCCGCCGTGGAATAGTATTCAGAATAAAATACCAATCCCGAGGTGAGTATACCATTAGAGGACTAGTGCCGGACTAGTCCTGGAGAAGCAGAAACCAAATCTAAATCCTACGTAATCCACACCTCTATTGTGGAAATCCTTTGTACAGGGATCCAGTAGCAGCGAATGACTATGAGGATGTCACCAGTAAGACTGATTAATAATTTCTCAATTTCATTTTACATATTGAAACCAGAGCAAGTAATAGACTTTAAATCATTTCTGGCCATTTAGCAATTGTCTTTTCGTGACAGAAAGGAAAAATCGATATTCGCTTTGCAAAATGCAAATTCGGTTTAACGTATATAGTTCGGATTATAGAGTCAGACTTAGGCTGATTAAAAAAAAAATCGACAATTTTTTTTTCTAAATCCTCTCTGAAATAGATTCAGGGAGGTGAGAAGTGATGCCTGTAAAAATCGGAACTCTTAATAATAATATTTAGAAGTCGCGCATCGCGAAATTCTATTTTCCATTTAAATAGGAAAAATTATTTTTCAATTTCAGAATTTTATATCTTAAAAACCAATAGACGTATTTAAATGACCGAAACGTATTCTTGTAGGGAATTGAACGTTCTACAAAAAATGTCCCTCATCATTTTTTGATAATCCTACTCGTACAAAAGTTATTCAAATTCAAAATTAAATTTATGTTATAATTACACTTTTTTCTTCAGTTTCAGGTAAAATGAGTAAGGTTATTATGAAAAATTATAAAAATGGCATTTAAAAATCAATATGAATTGATTGACTTTTTTGTAGAACATTCGGTTCCCTACAAGAATACGTTTCAGTCATTTAAATTCATCTATTGGTTTTTAAGATATAAAATTCTGAAATTGAAAAATAATTTTCCCATGTTATTTAAATGGAAAATAGAAAATCGCAATGCGCGACCTCTAAATATTAATATTAAGAGTCCCGATTTTTACAGCATCTCTTCTCACCTTGCTGAATTTATTTCAGAGGGTATTTTGAAAAAAAAGAATAGTCGTTTTTTTTTAATCAGCCTAGTTAGACTACATAATAAAATGTAACCGCTAAAAACGTAATTCCCGGCAGTCTCGGGGAAACCCTTTTATGCGAGTCGGAACCTTTCTCGATTAGATCTTTTTAATTGAAATATTATTGCTGTGCAAACATGTCGGCAAAAAGAAAGCATCACACGTTAAGCCTTTTACAAAAAGTGGATATTCTAAATAAATTGGTTTTATTAAAGTTTTCTTTTTTATTTTTAATAAATGCATATCCATATTTTACGATAATGTTTGGTTTTATTGTTATTTTTTCCCTACTGAGTAACACGTAAAATCTAATTCATATTATATTTACATCAGTAGGTACATATTTACTATCCACTAATCCGAAATAATTCGAACTTATCTCTTTAAGCTCATTTCTTAATTAGTTCGGATTAAAGAGTCTATACTGTATATTTTCCTATACTTAAAAATTTGCTTAAATCTACTTTTTTTTAATTTCTGGAAATAGAAAACTTTTGATTTTCTAGAGAAAGATTTGAAATATACAAACTGCATATGAATTATATAACAAATTAATTTAAAGTGAAATAAATAAAAAAACTGGAATGAAAAATATATTATATCAAATATAAACATTACAATTTATACAATTCTATATGAGTATTTCAATAAATTATTATTAAACAATATATACAAAGACGAAGACAAAATGTAATTTATTTTTCGCAAAATAGGAAACATAGTCACTCACTGATTTAGAGGTAGAAACTTCGGTAACATTCATTCACTTCTCACTTTTATATCTTACCTATATGCTATATTTATACATTTTATGGAATGTGCATGATCTGTATCTTAAATCTATATACAAAAATAATCTGAAGAAATGATTCTGACTGTGGTGCTTTTACCTTAGCTCCGACAGTCTTAGAAACATAGCAGTTCATATATATAAAACATCAATTATTGTGGCTAGAATCAAGAATATTGGAAACTGGTCAAATAGAGATTTTTCAGTCTTGTATCTTTTATATACGGGATGTTCCTAAATAAGTGTCGCAACGGAACACTGTAAATTCCTCTTGAAAAAAGAAACATTCTTTTCCTCTTTCATTTTTTTCTCCGGGCTTTCGTTTTCAAGATACACGGTGTCAAAACTTTGTTTTTTTAAATTTTTTGCCAATATTTTAGGAACCGTTTGAACTACAGGACTGAGTTTTTGTACATGCATGACCACTATTAATAGCTACTTTTTCGCACCCTTCTCGAATTCATTGAATGTGCCAGTGGTGGAGATTTTAAGATATCGTAAGGGTTTTTCCCCCCTAACTTTTACGCCACTGGAAAAATTGACATTTGACAGCAAATTCTGTAGCGCCAATGAATTTTACACAAAAAGAGTTCTCTTGGTTCATTGCTCTAAAGTCGACCGTTTTCAAGAAAAATGTCCTTTCATGAACAAAAACAAACATTTTGCTAACGTTTCAAAAATCTTTTGTAATTCAAAAGATAAATAGTAATAATTACAAGTTTAACGAAATTTAACAACATTTGCAACAAGTAGCTATTAATAGTGGTAATGTGTGTACACAAGCTCAGTCCTGTAGTTCAAACGGTTCCTAAGGTATTGGCAAAAATTGGAAAAAAAGTTTTAACACCGTATATCTCGAAAACAAAAGCCTGGAGAGAAAAATGGAAGAGGAAAAAAATGTTTCTCTTTTTACAGAAATTTACAGTTTTCCGTTGCGACACTTATTTAGGAACACCCTGTATAGTGGGTATAGTAATACAGGTTAAATAAAAATAATTTTTTATTTATTTTTATTTTATTTTATTTATTTTTATTTTATTTTATGAAAATGCTATGTCTCGTTCTAACTACTTGTGTGGATTAATGAATAAAATACAATGGCAACTCTACAAGCCCAGTCACCATTATCATGTATCCTGCTTAATTTATTGCAATAATATAATCAGTTTACAGCTGAAACCAAAGAAGATTCTACCAAAATACATTATACTGGTGACTACGTACATAGAACGGACTAGAAATTAAAAGTCCTCTTTGCTACTGAGAAAATTATTTGTGAAATCAATAGCTAGTGTAGTCCATTCTATGCGGCAGTAGTTTATTTATTTCTTTCCTATTACGTGTTCGTACTGGAATCTAGTGGAGTAGGCATTTTCGTGTGTGTATTCTGCCCACTTACTCAAGTCAATGCTGGGTAGTATTCCACTTCGACATGGCACACGGGGGTTGCTAAAAAATTATGATTTTTAAATTAGTTAATGAGTAAAATGATTATATTTTGGTATACTTCTAAAGTTCATAACTTAAAATGTTAAATTTAGAAAATGATGACTTACATTTCATGATCGGGCAAAACCATGGGGTACAGTTGAATGGTGTCTATTAAATCAGTGTTATCACAAATTACTCTTGCCAAACGGGTTTTGCGAATTTCTTGAAGTTGTTCTGGCGTGAAGGAAGATGGTTGATTTGGAAGCTCATACCTAAAAGAACAAATATTTGAGAATCTATTTCCAATTTGATCTCTCAGTTTATGTACAACACAGTAATAAAGCATGAGATATAGAGTATGAAATTTTATACTCGTGAATAAAATTAATAATTAAAATAACAGCCAAGGGTCAGTTTAAAGTTTGGTCGTCTTCAACAACAACAGTTTTTTTAGGAGTAATAGTACGTATTCTCCTGAATATGAACCTGAAATTCTTTTTAGGTTATTTGAATAAATAAATGCGTTATAATTAGCACTTTAATTCTTGTGCAGGCTGCTACTGGACGGCGTAAGCCGGGGTACCCGGAATATGAATATTACTGCACTGTCGTCAGCATTGCCAGTTGCTTGTAAATCAATCTATATTGTAATATAATTTAATAAAACAGATTGCTTTTGTATAACTTAGCGACGTGTTATTTTAAAGTCATCATATGTTTTTGATATCACTGTGGTTGAAGCACTGAACATAAAAAAACATTCTATCGTTTCTAAAAAAGAAATAAACATTTTTACATCATCTATTAAATATTGACGCAATGTCGGTACGCAAATACGTATTATTAATAGTAACTACATATTTTTCTTATTAACTGTTAGACAGGGAAGCTAATAAAAATAATTTAGTGAAAACAAATTGCTTTAACATGACAAGGACATGTTATTTTAGAGTCACCATACTTTTTGATGTGAACCCGGACCCGCTAGAGATAAAGGTTTCTCCTGAAGAAACTGATGAATGTGATGTCTCTCGAAATGTCAAAAAGTCTAAACCGACAACATGATAACCACCCTCGCAATTGCCTGACTTTTGTATGGGGCTTTTATAATACTAAAGAACGAAATGGAGATAAAGAATATGAACCACTCTCTGGTCCATATTCGAATCTTGCAAAACCACTCTGTCTTATTTTGATGTAAAATTGAACACTCAATTTTTTTTACTGTGTTCAATTAGTGTTTCAATTATAACTAATATTACCAGAATCTATCTCCTCTCCTTGAGTAACTGAACTGAGTAGCGATAATGCATGCAAATGTGGGTCCTAACATAGCTCCAGGAAGTGGACGCTCACAAACTCCTCCAGACCATAAGTCTACGTCATTGGGGTGGCTGTAAAATACAAGCAATATAGAGACTCCTTATAAATTAAAACAATCTTTAACTTACTCGAATATCTGGGCATATTTAGCAACAGTTTCGTTAGACATAGACCCCACCATGTCCTCAAAACTATCGGAAGTTGGCAAACCACAGAATTTTCTGAATTCCATATACCCAGGAAGTCCATATTCGCGGCCTCTCTGCATGTTGAAACTAACTAGGTCCATACCAAACCGTGCGCCAACTTTCTTAAACAAGTGATTGGTTACTTCTTGGGTAATCGAGTCATCCATAGCTTGAGCCACTTGGTTCATCAGTCCCATGAAGTATTCGTCTAGAACTCCTGCTCTGTATAGGTCATACGGTCTACGAATAAGGTCAGATAGACGTTTCGATGCTAGAAAATAATAAATATTTGTTAAATGGTTGTAATTTTTTTAAGAAGACAATTTTTTTTAAACGAACCAATGAATTTATGTGCTTTACTCCATCTTTCTACTGCAGTTGGCAGTAGAGAGTGTCCAAATCTGTAGGCTGCTGCAGCAAAGGCATCGATTACTCCTGGGTTGATACTGGAATCATATCCGTTCCAATAATTCTAAAATTGGATATGTTATTTTAATAAACAGTAAAATAATATAGTAAATGTAATAGCTAGAGAATCGAAAATATCAAAACAGCAATGTCACGGACAAAGAAGAGGAATACCTAAAGTAAGGTGAAGAACAGATGAAATAAGAAAGCAAATATGAGAATATATTCTAGGATAGAGGAGTTAGTGTATGCATAACAACTTCGAGTGCAACAATCTATTTGAGAAACTTAAATTTGTGAGGAATAGATTAATGAATTCGAGCGACTTCACGACAGCTTCAAAATTTTTACTTTCTCTTTTCTCACCTCTTTCTGTAATAATAATCCGAATTTTTCCATGATATCTTTGCCTAAGAGAATAGGCAGGAATTCATTGTAGGTGATGTGTTGCACTATCGCGATGTTGATTCGTCTAGCTTCTTGGAAAAGGGTCTCGTCATCCCAATGTGGATTGATGTGAGCCAATTCCTTAGCGACCCGATTGTGTTCACGAGCCATGAGGGTGTGCATACATGTCAGTACTAATTGTTCGTTTACTCTGATTTCACCTGAAATATATTAATAAATGTGAGTATAAATAGAATTTGAAAAATCTTTGGAGACATTTTTAATATTACATATTTTTTAGTATGAACTATTTTTCCACTATTGTTTCTTAGTAATTAAAGTAGTGTAATTACTAGGTACCTACCACCCTCAAAACAGTACATTGAGGCATTTGGTCTTGTGCAACCTTCATCAGGAACATCTAGTTTGAGTGGCAGTAAGTCCTTCAATCCGTATTCCTCAAAAGCTGGGTTCATTCTAAGCAGTCCTCCTACACTTGACCGCAGTTTCCTAAATAAGAGAGGAACATAAGAGAAATGCTAATATAAATATATAAATAAATGAAGAATGTATATGCATATAAATTATTGATTTATTCTCTAGTGCCAAAATAGTAGTAATAAATAAATCAACAAACCACAAATTTTACTATTTCTTAATCCGCTACGATAAATTTTGTGCTCTCTGTATGAAAATTGTAATGTGTCATTCATTTAGTATAGTGTTCCAATAATATATTTTAAGCCTGCATGTGTGCTTGGAATATTCTATTGCTACAAGCTCCTATTTGTATCTTTGCTTTTAGTATACAAGAAGAGATTTCTTGAAACCCTGGCCTATCGTAGTTTACAACTGAGACTGTCTGCGTGTCATAAGCATTTTAGTTATATCAATACGGAGTGCAATCATTTTCGGGTGTTATTAGCCAATCTGACGAAGTTGATCATAAAGATATGAACAGTGGGGTATTTGAAAAATAGATTGCATCTATTTTGCCACACATTAAACTTGGTGTAGTGATTGTCATGGATAATGTGTCCTACCATAGTCGATGAATAGAAGAATTCCTAATATCTGCATTGAGAAAAGGATAATTCATGGAGAGATTGAATGGGAAATATATTGAATATAAATTAAAGCACGAGTAGAGTTATCAGCAAATGCTAAAAGTGCATAAAAAGAAAAAGTCAATTACATGGAATATGAAATAGTTTACCATATCAGTGTGAGCTGAATCCCACTAAATTAATTTGAGTAGATGGCATAAAGATGGCATGTCACGAAATAACACAGGTTTTAAATTAGTAGACTGGGAAAAGTACATGTACAAAAAGAAAAACAATGAATATGGGACCTCGATAAAGGAATTGAAGTTATAATAGAATTTATTATATCTTAAGGTTACAGCTGTGATACCGTTAGTGACATTGATGATAATTTTAAATTTGTACGGTTAATCTAGTTTTTACCAAAATCGACATATCTATTTATTGTTCTACAATGAGTAATGTCTACTAATTTGTCATTGGAGTATAATTCAGGTACACCTGTCGTTGCAAGAATACTTATAGTAACAAAACCTTTTTTTATTATTATAATATTATAAGAGAGTAGTCTTTTTGTAAGTTTTTTATTTTTTTTTAAGAGTTTACTCATGATTCTATATTTTGAAATGACAAAAGTTCAGAAAAATAAGACCATTATCTAGATCTAGAATGATCTTTGAATACCTATTTCACAAATAAAATTAACTGCCTAACATAATTGCAACAGCGATAAAACTTCAGTAGTATCATATTTTGTCGATGGTTTAAAGTTAATCTAATAATAACATATGATTGATAATGAGTGAAAGATTCAATAAAATAGGTGAATTTTAATCTACTTATTTAGTAAGTATTTTTTCCTCTTTCTGGAAAGTTGCTCGAATTTGCACCCTAAACAGAACCAACCTGGCAAATTTCTCGGTGACACCATACACTGTATTAGCATCTAGAACACCAGTTAGTGTATTGTAAGGTATTCTGGAACCAAGTCTGCATCCGGGTCTCACACCCGGGAAGGTTCTTACAAAATCTATGCATTTAACATGGTAGAGTCTGTAGAAGTAATCGTCTTCAGGGATTAAGATTTCATTGCAGTAGGGATGTTTTAAATGAGGAGGTCTGTTGCAGCATTCCTCAGGATCATTTCTGTTGAAAGAATCTAAAATAAAATAAAAAATGTTAATACAGATGAAATTAATACAGTCTGGAAGGAATTTGAAAGGATTAGATTTTAATTTGTATAATAACAGGTACTCATTCCTAGACAGATATTAATAGAATAAAAATTTACCAAACATTTTACTTTTTATTGGAATTTACCTAGTGGTGTGGCTTGGAGCGTGTAGTCGTGGTCGATGAATTGACCCCAGGCGATAACCATGACGGTGCCGGCATGATCGTGGTAGCCTTCGTCAGGATGCATAGTTCGAGACACCACCCGGGACAAGGGTAGTGACTTGCCGGTTACACTGATACGAGGTGCAGTCATACCGTCGGCATAGAGAGGTCCCAGTAGTCTAAGGAAAGAAATATATAAAATATAAGTTTTTTTTCTTATATAATTGTTAATCAAATGAACATTTTCAAATTTTCCAATCCAATTACATCAAATTTTTGAGCTTCTTAGTGACAGTGCCTTCCACTATATCGGCTATACTGATTGATGTAATTGTGAACTGGCAGAGAACAAAATAACCCAATCTCAGTCGTTTCTAAGGGTTTATGAACGATTTCATTTATAATAAAATACCTACTATATGGGCAAGAGTGAGGTATGTAAATGTGTTATATACAGGGTGTCCCGTAATTCATGCAACAAAACTTGGTCACAGATTCTTAAGACAAATTTAGGGGACCCGTATTTTTTATTTTTGCCAAGTGGCCCCCTCTTTTGGAGTTACAGCCCCCTGAAGTCCGCTCCTAAGAATAATCTTTTTTTATATCTCAGAACCCTGTTGTACGAGACTCACTAAATTTGGTAGACAGGGGTTTTATGATTTAGAAACTTTTGTCTATTTATACTTTTTTCGTAAAACGCAATGTTTTCAAGAAAAATGTCAAAATGTGATCGAATGCATATCGTGATTCGCCATTTTCCTCAAAAACATTGCGTTTTACGAAACAAATATCAAAAAACAAAAAAGTTTCTAAATTCAATGGCTTTCTAGCCAACTAATAATTTAAAAAAAATCTAATTTGCTACCAAATCTTTCAGGTTCCAAAGACAAGGGGGCCCACGAAAAAGTGTCTTAAGGGGGTTTCTCGCTGAAAGGCGTAGCACTGTGAGATTCCACTTGTCATAAAACCCCTGTGTACCAAATTTAGTGATTCTCGTACAACATGGTTTTGAGATATAAAAAAGACTTCTTAGGGGCAGATTTCAGGAGGCTGTAACTCCGAAAGAGGGGGCCAGTTGGCAAAAAAAAAATACGGGTCCCCTAAATTTGTCTTAGGAATCTATGACCAAATTTTGTTACATGAATTTCGGGACACCCTGTACAGTGCTATTCTGCGTTAGTTTTTCGAGATTGGTACTTGATTTGATATTTGTTTATCTTAAATATTGTTGTTTTTATAAGTTATAAGTATGTATCTAATAATTTTGCAAACAGAAAAACTTTTTGAATATTATTTATTCATGTCTTCCACCTGGGATAAATTTAAATATACAGTGCTATTTTTTTAAAACCTGACATAGGCCAACTGTTTTATTTGAAGTGATAGACTAGTACTTCCAAATGCAAAGATGTAGGAAATAACTTAGGAAAAATTTACAAATAATTCTTTCCGGTGTTGTCAGATTTCTGCAGTAGCTACAAAAACGATATTTTTTTAAATGGCAACACCGTATTTTTTTAACATAATTTGGCAAACCTTCAAATTCTAAATAGAAAATGTGATGTCACATTTCTATACTGGAGAAGCCGTTTTTGAACAATCAGCAAATACAACGAAAATAATCGGAAGTCATATTCAGGGTTGCTTATATTTTATATCTCAAATAACCTTCAGTTGATGTTTTTGTTTGATACTTAATTTAATAAAAACATGTTTAATTTAACTTTATATGTGCATTGTGCTATGTAATTTTTTTAACATCCGACGTAGGCCAATTTTTTTATTTGAAGTGATAGTCTACTTCCAAATGCAAAGTTGCAGGGAATAACTTGACTAAGAAAAATTTACAAATAATGCTTTCCGGTGTTGCCAGATTTCTTCAGTAGCTGCTTAAACAATATTTTTTTAAATGGCAACACCGTATGTTTTTTAAACACTTTTTTTATAAAATTAAATTATAACAAAAACATTATCTGAGGGTTATTTGAGATATAAAATAAAAGCAACACTGAATATGACTTCCGATTATTTTCGTTGTATTTGCTGATTGTTCAAAAACAGTTACTCCAATAAAGAAACGTGACGTAACATTTTCCAGTTAGAATTTGAAGGTTTGTCAAATTATGTTAAAAAAAATACGGTGTTGCTATTTAAAAAAATAAAAAATCGTTTTAGCAGCTATTGCAGAAATCTGGCAACACCGGAAAGAATTATTTGTAAATTTTTCTTAGTCAAGCTATTTCCTACAACTTTGCATTTGGAAGTACTATCTATCACATCAGATAAAAAAGTTGGCCTATGGCAGGTTTTGAAAAATTAGGACTGTATATTTAAATTTATTAGATACATACTTCTAACTTACAAAAACAATAATATTTAAGATAAACAAATATCAAAGTAAGTACCAATCTCGAAAAACTAACGCAGATGTAGTATGTACAAAAACGGGATAAGTATCATGTTACTTGGACAAATTTATTGCATGGGATAAACGATTTTTTTAACTCAGTTTCTATTAAAGTTCCATTTTACATCAGATGAAAAGAGTTCACATTTAAGCAATATAAATGCAGAAATATCATTTAAAAAAATTGACTTATTCCTTCCTTGCAATCCTTCCTTCTCTTCTTTCTATATTTCCCTTATCTTCAAGTGAAGGTATATAGTGATGTGTATTTTTTACTTTTCTGCTTTTTCAGTGTGCGATTTTTGGTTTGTCAGGCAAAAATATCCCTTTAGTCTAAGGAGATCATCCTTTGGCGTAAAGGTATTTTTAATTAAATTTTTAATTTTTTCGCAGGTGGAAAATTCCAACGAACATGGAAAAAACTAAAATTATACCAGAAATATACAGGGTGTTTCCTAAGTACGGTCCATAACTTCAGGACACAATTTCTTATGGTATTTAAAAAAAAGGTTCCATAAACATATGGTCGGAAAAGCTTAGATTTCGAGATACAGGGTGTTGAAATTTTTAAAAGATATATTAATGTTTGAAAAAAATTTGGAACAGTCAATGTTAGGTTCTTAAAATTTGGCAGTTTGTACGTTGGTAAGAGCTGCATTTTTAGTATAAAGTCAATTTTTGTCAATGCTGATGAAAATAATCAATTTCTGGTTTAAATTAAAAATTTTATGCCAGAAACAAAAGGTTTAGCCAACTCAAACGATTTTTTGCTTTATACATTTGTTTTTTTCTGGATATCTAATGAGTTTTAATTTGATTGAAGATTATGAAACCTATTTTTTTCTACCTCGTAAATGGTGTATTGATGGCCCCCCAGGTGGGATGGTCCAGATTCGTGCATAGCCCGTCGAATCTCCTGTATTTCCCCGCCCTACATTCCACGTTCGAAAGGAAAGGCGGACAGACTTCTCTAATCAACGTCCTGCTGGTGTCAATTAATGGCAATCCTTTCTCGATGTCCTCGTAACTTAGACCATAGCTGCAATTTAGAAGAGAAAGTGAAGTTATCAATCAAACATCGAACTGCAAACGCCTTAACTTTATTTCTGTCAATTTTAGAATTCGAGCGTAAGCTGTAATCATTTGTTATAACAAGGCCTTAGACATGTTGCGATGTTTCTCATTTTTTTATTGAACGAATGGCAAAGATCACCTTAAACAGTGCAATTAATAACACTAGTTTACACATCGAAAAGTTCGGAAGACTTTTTGAATCCGATAGTGTTCTCCGTCGCAATTTTTCATGCTGATCTTTCCGTGAAATTACTCTTACGTCGGGATTTTGAGATATTCAAACATAAAAGTTCAGAAAAAATATTTCAAAGTGTAACAAATGTTCGGTCGCAACCGCTGAGCGCAGGGATGATCCGATCGGAGTGATTTTGGTGTGATAATTGGTTTTGGGCATTTCACGATTACGAGGGTAGTATTAGGGAGGAAAATAGTGAACCTCTACATTTTGACTATTTTTATAAGACTCCGACGATGTTTATTAATGTGAGTGAACTTTTTTCCATTCCTTATAGCGGAATTTGTGTGTAGGGGTGTCAAATTTAATTTAGCTGTCAACTGAACATAATTGATTAAATACGGGAAACACTTAATCTCTAATTAGTGATATCTTGGAGGAGAAAACTCCTATTAATACTAACTGAAATGTAAATTAAATAGGAAGAGAACTACTTTATGTTAATGCATACAATATAGACTGGAAAAAATATATGTAAGTGTGACATAATCATAAAAACATGTCTAACTGACTTTTTTGCAGTTTTAGGTTTAAGTATCTCAAAAATATTGACGCAGTGGAATTGATTCGAATCAGGGCAAGAAATTACGTCGGAAAATATTATCAGATTCAAACAATCCGGGTAGTATTATGTTGTGTAATTAATACCAACTAATAAAAGACAGAGAGGAAAGAATATCCATATATTGTTTTTGTTTGTACGTGCAGCTGTTGACAAAAAAGTGTCGAAACTAAAACGTTTAGAGAAGTAAAATGCGAATTTAATAAAACAATTTTTTGAGATAATTATATAATTTAGGTTGGAAACTTTTTATTGTCTACAAATGTATAAGGTGTCTCACGAGTGTCTTACTCCTTTAGGGTGTACCTAAATTTTCATTCCATTTTCATTTTCTCAAGACACCCTGGATGTTTTGAGAAACAAGTAATGGATCTGAATCACACCATTTCAGGCTTAGTTATATTTCTTTAGCTTATTCAAAAATGTAAAATATCTCTAAAACTAAACATGAGATGTTCACAGTGTTCACCATCAAACATGACAAACCATATCATCGGTATTACTTATTTAACATATGTATTTGAAAAAAAAAGTAATTATTGAAATCGAAGTTTCCAATTTTTCAATCACGGATATTTAATTTTTATAAGTAGAATATTTTATTTTGTTCGATTTTCTTAAGATAATTTATAGTTTATGTCTATTAATAGTTTGTCATATTTTTTGTTGCTATTTTTACGTTGAAAAATGGATGTTCATAACTATAGAAATTTGAAAACCAAAATGGACTGTAAAAATGAGATTTGAATATCAGTGAACTTAAAACTTATCTAAATATTAGGAAAATATTCGATCAGACAACCTGATAGTATGAATTACATTGTTTATTACCATTTATTTAGCTATAAATGTTTGATTAATTTTCGTTAAAGAAATTTGAGATAAGATCTACATTATTAAAATGGTTGATCAATCGAGTGTTTTATTTGAATTTTAAACAATGTTTGTTTTAATCTTAAAATATTTTATTACAGAAAACCTGGGGAAATTTTTCATTAGAAAAATTGACAGATTAAGATTAAGATTAAAGATCTTTTTAGATATTTGTAAACACTTGTACATTACTTACGTTCTTGCTAAATTGATAGATATATCTAAAAGTAGTTCGCCAACTGTGGCAACATCTTCTGGTTTCCAGTCGCCATGGGGTTGAGCAATTCCTAATAGGAGAAAAAAAAAATTATGAAACACACGTGAATTCGCCTTTCTTGCATAACAAGCAATTACCAACCAACAAATGCAATTACAAATACATATACCTCGAATATAGGTAAATATAAATTTTAATTGTAGAAACGTATGTGATAGATAGGACAAGTGATGGTAAAATATTGAAAACTTGACAGGTTATTAAATGAAACAGATTTTTAGTAGATGCAGTGGTAATTTTTTAAACTGAATTTATATGTCGCATTCTTGAAAAGGTATCGCAATCATTTATAATATTGAGTATATTACATACTAGATATTAAATATCAATAAAAATATTAAACAACGAAATGTTAAATAGATGGTTGACAATAAAGTCTTGTTACGTAGGTACATTTGTGTATAAACAAATAAATACTTTAGCAAGAATATTATCCACAATTAAAGAAACATTATATCCTAATGGTTACACACGCAGTATCTACAGGAGGTCACAAATGAGTAGATCTATTGAAAAAGTAATAGATTTTTATTGTCATTTTCAATTTGGGTGTTCCGTTTTCGAGATACAGGGTTTTAAAGTTAATATTTTCAAAATGGATTGTTTATAGCTCCGTTGTTTTCTAACATACTTAGATTAAATTTTGCACCATAGAAGACAGATCGTGTAAAAAAAGGAAATTATGTGGAACGTCAGTCAATTAGAGAAGCGCTTTTTGCGTAGCGAGTCCGAAGTATTCTGGTCGTGCACGTGCGCAAGATGCACAGGGTCGCCTTACATTTATGGCTCATTTTCTTAGTTAATTTTCTCGAAAACGGAAGCATTTAGAGCATCAGTTGCTTAATAAAAACTGCTCATTTTCATACTTTCTATCACCCTTTTCAAGGAATGCACATATTTCATAATCATCCTGTATTTATTAGTATTTTCCTGTCCTGTAATTGGATTCTGTCTGGACAGTGTATTGTTAAAAAAATCTATCGATAACGTGATAGTGTGACTTTATAAACATGTGCCAAATTTCCACATAGTATGAAGTTATTAGTGAAAATCGTTTTTTTTTTAATCTCATACCACTGTTTCATGAGACTTTTTATCGAACTAATTCTGGTCAAAACTCTCCTATAAACAGAATATGTAGACATTTTAACTTGTACCATAGTACTCTAGATATCTTTCGCTCCTCGCTCACTAGTTTTAAAAAATCTTTAAAGGGAACTATTATTGTAAATTAACATTTTCTATTATAGTAATTATTTCTGTACTTCTATATTTAATTAGCTTTACGTAATTTGTCGACATTGTTTTGGGCTATAAAGCCTGTGTTTGTCCTTTTCCATAAATAAATAAATACCCTCGTTTTTTGAAAACGGATTTCCCAAATTAAATAAAAATGACACAATGAAAGTCTCATTAATTTCGCACAAGTAATCTGTTTTTAAACCTTGGTACACCTTCTAATTTGTGACATTCTGTATTTTAAAGAATTCCTCTTGTGTTTCACTTCTTCTAAATTAAAATATTGAAAAATATACTTACGTATCCTCTTGCGGGCATCTAAATAAGCAGTATTTATGGCATCGTATGTAATACAAGTATGAGGTCCGTTGTACTCTCTGAAATTAGCAAATAACAGTAATTTCTCCATCGGAAACAAGAAATAATTATCACTTACAGAGGGCTGCCACGGAGTAAGTTAAACGTGTAGTCGAACTGACTGCTCCTTGCAGGTCCGCTTAACAGTAAGGCACATTCTCCATCACCGTTACCCGTTAATTCTACTGGTTGATATTGAATACATAAAACTAAATTAATTTGAACTAATACTAGAGCTGACGCTGTTATCCACAAAGGCGGTGACCCTTTCCCCCTGAAACAAAAAACAAAAAATGATGATTCGTTCATTTTTTTCATAAACATTATTTTTTCATATATGGAACCCAAAAATTTATTCAGGGCTTACAATAACTGAAAGTATTTTCTAATACAGTAGCAGGTAACTGAAACATCGGCAAGAAAAGGAGTAAGATTTTTTTTATACTAGTAAAAATGGTGTTAAAACAAAGCTAAAAAATTGCAAATTCAACCTTTATTTAATGTCCATCCATGGCTTTTATACATAAATATGGAAAAATTAAAAAGGCAACTGTAATAAAGCATATACAAATCCGGCAAAAGGTCCAGTTCCGGTAATTTGAGATTTTCTACTTAATGGATATATCAATATTATTTTAAAAAATAGTGGTCTTAGTTCGCTTAGTGTTTTTTTATATAGACTGTTTCCTAATATGGTCATTATAAAAAAATTCTCCATAACTACAAAGACCGCACATTTGGTTTTAGTTTGTAGGGTTGAAGCTTATCAATAAAAAAACTCATTTAAAGTGACATCATATTTATGAAATAGTCGTAAGGTGTTGATGAATGTAACGATGAAGTTGATTTTTTTAAAAAAACGAGATTGGATCGTTTCTCTTGCTTAAATGATGCAAAAAGACATGATTTTCAATCAACACTTGACAAAAAATTGAGAAAGAATAGGTACATTTTTTTTCACGTGTAACCTTTTGCTGCATAGTATTGTATTATGATTCGAAATAAATAGGACACCTTAAAAATATATTGCATATTATTGTTTAATTATTGTATAATAACGATGAAATTCCTTATAAAGGATATGATCTACGGTTTTAGTCGATGAAAGCAATACATATATTCTCACATTAGCGCATTCGCCATTTTCTCGAATTTGTAGATATATTTCATAGTTTTGGAAATTAGTACAAAATTTTTCGCATTTATATCACAAACGTTCTGTTATTCATACATGTATTAATAAAAAAAATTATTTCCTATATAAAATACTCAAAATCACAAAAACTTAGTTAAAATATGTATCCATATACATGAGTAAGTTGGGCGTAAGTATTCAAAATGCCGACAGTTCGTCATAGAAGTTTATAATAATCCAATATTTTTTGTAATAATTTGACACAATAACAAGATCCTAAGTTTTCTTTTATGTACAGGGTGTTGCGTTTAAATATGATACAAGCCTGTAACTTATTTTTTGGCCGATTTCAAAAATTTTAATTTGGGAATGTAGTGTAAAAAAATCTCTATCTAACTGTGATACTGCTGTTTTTATTAATGTAATTCACGGCCAACTAGGACGCGTTTTCTTGACATCAAAACAGCTGATTGGTATTAGCGATTTTTTTTCCAAAAAAACAGATTACGTATTCTCATTCAACATCCCTTAAAAAGTCTTACCACCAAGTTTCATCAAAATCGATACATCTTCAGTCGAGCACTTCATGATGTCGCGAAATGTAATACAAGTCCGTAACTTCTTTTTCTTTTTTTTATGAAATGTAGAGTAAAAAAACTCTATCTGACTGTGATATTGTTGTTTTTATTAAAGCAATGCACGGCCAACTAGTGCTCGTCTGAAGATGTATCGAATTTGATGAAACTTGGTGATAAGGCATTTTAAGGAATGCTGAATGAGAATACGGAATCTGTTTTTTTTTTTAAATCGCTAATAAAAATTAGCTGTTTGACGTCAAAAAAACGCGTCCTAGTTAGCCGTGATTGCATTAATAACAACAGCAGCATTACAGTTAGATAGTTTTTTATCATACATTAAAAAAAAAAATTGAAATCGGTCAAAAAACAAAGAAGCTACAGGCTTGTATCACATTTAAGCACGACACCCTGTATATATTAGAATAACAACAAAAATAGAAAAAACCTCTATCTCACAAACTATAAAAAATCTCCATCGGCACATTAGGCCCAGTCAACGATTCGGCTTTTGAAAAGGAAATGTTTTTCTTTAATTTATTGTTATTGAATTAATAATGTTATTCGTTTAGTTCTGTAGATTCATTTGTTTATACAGTATTGTTCAAGTATTTCAAGAAATTAACAAAACTTTTTCCGCACCCCGTAGTGTAACCGTGTGTATTAAATAATAATACGATATTAAAAAACCAAAGTCTAAAATCAGTTATATAAATGTAACTTGAAATAATGAAATAGGTACGTATGACTAAATGTCTAGTTAGCAGAAATTTTACAATACAATCTTGTCATTTCTCCACACCCATATTAATAACACCGTATAACAGATATGTTGTAATAAGTACATATCTATAAAGGTTACCGATTGGTTTAATTTACACAACTAGTCTAATGATACGTCGCCACTGTGATTGAATGAATCATTGAAAAGGAATTATCTGTAACAGATCTGCAGCAGTAAACTGTTCATTAATATTTACAATGTTTTTATCGATACATTTATAGAATTAATTAGTGGCAGCAATATTTTTATTTCCAAATAGTTTTGTATTAGCAATTTCTAATACTGATTTCTTCCCGATTCCGATAAATTTCACAAACCTGAAAAATGCACATACATATGTTTTATTTTATTTGCTTTACTGATGCGGGTACACTTTCAGACATACTTCATACAAATCCAGTTATTTTCTCCAAGCCAATTTCTATGATATGTTTTCCATTCTCGCCGATCGCGTTTGAGATTCTAACGTCCATTAGACATGTGTCGCACTTCTCGAACCATATTTGTAATAACTCATTTTCAAGAAAGATGAAAGTCATCATAAGTAGCCCCGCGAGAAAATGAACATCTTAAGCAGGCAGCGCAATCGACGCTGATGAAAAACTTGTTTCAGCCGTAAGAGGACAAATTAGTTTTAATTTGAAAGGAGCAAAGTGTGTATGTCCATTGAAATAACTATTGTTAAGATATATTGTAGTTTCCACCAGAGAGAATAATATTTTGTTCACTTTATAACCAATAAATGTCATATTTTGATAAATTTATTATCAACCACGTCATTATATTATAGTGACAAAACTGGAATCTATTAAATTTCATCGCTGTTAAAATTACATAGCTATGGTTTTATCGGTGACAAAAAATCACCTATTGGTAATTGAATTGAATTTTGAAATATTCGAATAAAGAGTACAGTTTCTGAAATATTTTGTAAAATATTCGTGACACTGGCATTTTCAAAATATTTCCCTAGATTTTGCATAGTATGGGTTACCTGTTGCGACAGCGTACACTGTAAAAAAATTGGTGTAAGTGAAAACAACGACGAAGTGAATTCATTGAGACAAATTATTGAGTACATTTTCACTTATTATCGAGCATTTTACTCATTTGTGATAATATTTGAACTAAAATTGAGTACTTTCACTCAAATCAATTTTACAAAAAAGGTATTCTTTATAAAAAGTTATGCTTTTTGAAAAAATGGTATTAAATTTTTCACATTTGAGATAGCATATACAGGGTGGCCAAAAATGGAAAATCAACGTGAATATGAGACTTTGTTTTCACCCTAAAATAAAAATTAATTGTACTTCCCCCTTGACAAATTTGTTCTTTTTTTAATTTTTGGCCACCCATATTATTATGCTATCTCAAGTTTGAGAAGTTTAATACCTACCAATTTTTCAAAAAGCAGAACTTTTTATAAAGAATACCTTTTTCGTAAAATTGATAATAAAAAGGTTACCCATTTGTAGAGTACTTAAAGGAACACCTGTAGGTACCCGTTAAATAAATTCTGAAGATAAACTCGTATTTGGTGCATTTGTAACTAAATCGGAATAAATGTCTTCATTATTGAGTAACCTCACCCCATTCTATGGTTGTCGTGCGTTGTCTTTGTCTATTCCCATCGTCCCCATAGGTATTCTCTTGGCGTGTGTATGTCGTGTAGTGCTGGGCAAGTATCCGTTAATTAGGATATCTTAGTGAAAATTATGTTTAAATGCAGTACAATAATTAAAAACAATAATATATTGAGTCTCGATTAATATTTGGTTAAATAAACGGACAGTTAAATTGTTACCTATACTTACTGTGTGGCGCCGGCCGCCCCCCTTGTAAATTTTCATAGTACAAAATTACTCAATAATAGTTAAATTTAAATCATATTAGAGAAAAAAGTCTACTCTTATTTGGTTTTACATACTCAGAATAGATTCAAAAGTCACTTGAAAGTTCATAAAATTTTAGTTGTAGTTGTACTCGTACTAATAGAGTGAAAATTTCACCCAATCGGGTGTGGACAGAAATTGATTCATTATTGAGTAAAATTGAGTGAATTTGAGTGAAATTTATTTTACAGTGTAACTTACAAAATCAATGCTGCTGTCTGCATTTCCATTTAAAGGCTCATTTCATCAAGTACTCTTTCTTCTTGATTTGCACAATTCAAGGCACAAGCGAAATTTGTCGTTTTACTAAAATATACAATTTGATTGATGCAATAAACATGAAAAAATAAATAATAATAAACAATAAACTATGCAATGATAACTTTTATTTAACGGAAATCCATATTGAAAAGAGGAAGTAAGAATTAATTTACTTTCTACTGACAAAACAGCAGTTGTTAATCCAGCTTATAAAATAATAAATACAGGGTGTATGGTAAAAAGTGGGTCATAATTCAAATTACCTAGTACAATTTCGCTTTAAAAATATATAGCTGAATTAAGGTATTCTAAACGCCCTGTAGATTTTATCTAAGATTATATAGTTTATAAGATTATAGTCCTTAATTTTCTACTCCATAAACCTTCATAACTCACAAAAAATATATCTAAGTTTGCTTCCGCAGATAACAACCAACCGACTGTTTCTAATAATTGTCGACAAGGAAAATGTATCGTTCCACTCGAACACCTTCGGAAACCTTTCCTGAAACCAGAAAGTCTATAAAAATATACCCATCAGACGTCACTACTTTGAAGCATTTTAGAGGTTGGAAAAATAACAAAGTAGCTGAAGAATATGTCGAAGATTCTCTTTTATAGAAA